ATTCTACGGTGAACAAAGCGAGCAAAGCGCATGGTCTGGTTATCTCCTGCAGCCCATATGGGCTGAGAACGACACGCTCTGGGTTTTTACTTCCTGCTTGTGACAAGTTAATTTGCCCTTCTTGGCCAGCGAATGGCTCCATGGGTGTAACTCACTGGAGGAAAGCCTGTGATGCAAAGTGAGTCGGACCAACTTTGCAAAGCCTTTCTTACCCGAATTCCACCCTGTTCCTTCTGCACAGATGCACTTTTGATCCTGTGCTGCACCAATACACTTGAGTTATGTCAGATATCAAGCTAATAGGATGAAGAAATCTGAAGAAAAAAAGAACCTTTTTCTTTTCACAGTGAATGAAGAGCCAATGTTTGCACAGGACAGACATGTGGACGGCTCACAGTGGGCCGATACACATCTAAACCCCATCTACTGATTATGTCGACATTGAGACAAATTAGGCTCCAACTCCAAGGAAATCATATGACTGAATTTAAACTTAATAGGGACTTTTTAGACCCCACCAGACAGACTCCCCTTTTTTACAAAAGGGTCATGGCATAGTGTTTTAGCCAACACAGTTCCAGCAAATGATTCAAAAGTTACTGAATAGTGTTACTGTATGACCTACAGGACAGTCTAAAAGTATGGAAGCCAGTTTCAAAAGCGTTAAAGTCAATTTGCCTACAACCAACAAATGATTACTGACATATAGTTAAACTAAAATAGTTTTTTTTTTCCAAAATATTCCCTTGGTTTGCAGTGATGTACTTTTACTAGGGAGGCATGATCACAATTAGGATTTTTATCTAAACATGCGATCAGCGTCGCAATTTTATGATGTACATCATGTTAGGCTGGCAAGTGCACAGGCTAAATTTAAATACTGCTGCTACACTTGTACCCCCACAAGGTCGTAGCATAATTATACATGACATACTCCACTAAATAACCAGGTTCGTTTTACACTGGATGTAGCGCTTTATTTGATATTATTTAAACAGGTAACTGACAACCATGTGAGCCAGTTTGGCTCATTAAAGAGTGAGTAATGTTATTTATGTTGCAACTTTGACTATTAGAAAGTGCTAAAAATGTGCTAATGTTTTTCATTTAGCCCACACAGTGTGAGTTTCAGGTTTTTTAAAAAAAGGCTAATAAAAATCAGTCAAAAAAATTAGCCATCACTCAATTTTCCTGCATAGAAATCAGAATCAAAATCAGACATTTCACAATCAGTGCCACCTGGTTATAACTTTTTTTCTAACATATTATAAAGGATCCAGCATTTCTGGTTACTGATTCACTTAATAAAGCCTTCAGGAGTAGCATGTGAGAAACAGGTGGATCTGATCAGGACTGCAATAAACCTCTGCCAGGTAATCACCCAGAACAAACAGATGAAGAATCATTTGTACACTTTTGCTGGAAACTTTCAGTCAAAACTTTTTCTTGAGAAACATACTATTCTTTTAAAAAAATGATGTGATTTATTTTTTAAATTAGCTTTTTTCTAAACCTGTGGCCTACAGTGTTTCTTTGGCCTACAGTGTATGCTAGACAAGACTGACTGTCCATATCACACACACCTCTATAAAAGGATTTCCATATACCTCCTTTATGCAAATACCTGGATAGCAAAACAGCCCATGAATCACAAAAAGTTTATGTTTGGATGATATGTAAAAGTTGGTTTATCCAATTAGGAGAAATGTGGAAATCAATGATGGAAAAAGATTTTGTGAGCAAGTGTTGGTGTAGTGGGAACAAATGTCACGTGTTTGTCACTGTGTCCTCTCAGAACTGTTTGCCCTGCTGGTTGTCGATGATGGTGAAAAGGGACAGTGACTTCAGCCCTCATTAAATGGGCCACTGCCCGCTCCGCCCGGCGTCTCTGAACTGTTAGGACTACAGCCATGTACAGCTGACAAAGCTAATGAAGAGCCCTCCATTGTATATGCCACACATAGTGAGAGAGACTCTTGTCTCGTGCTATATGGCACAAGCATGTCATGACACCTTCAGGAATTTGCACATAACAGCAGCAGATGGAAACGCCATTCACTTCATCTTTTACTAACTTTTTTTTTAGGAAATTCACTTCAAATCTGCAAAACTTTAAATGGAAACCCTGCATACTTCTAGATAACTGATGTAAGCCTCTCTGAACTATCTGTTAGAACTTTACGGAACTTGGCCGGCTGAAGTCTGAACTGAAGGTGATGCACATGTACGCATATCCCGTTGCATTTGTTCTAGATTCAGACCGACTCACCAACAGTCAGGAAGTAGTGCATGATTGTGAAACACAACAGGCCTCTTCCACAAGTGTCCTTGGGCCGCTCTGTTCTGCTCAGCGATCTTGGTTTATCAAGCGCTCTTGACCTCTGAAGGGGCACATTCTAGATTAGAACATGCTTATCTACACAGCCCTCATATATGACTCACTGTGTCAGTGAATATGAAAGCAAACTGAACTGTTTTACACACGTTTAGTCTTGAGCTACAGTGTTTTGGGAGGGAGGTGGGGTGGGGTATTGTAAAAGACGTAGCAATCATCCTATTATGAGAAAGCCATCTGTGCTACTTCTAAAGGAAACTGATTCAGCAAAAAGAAAACAACTCACTTGCTACATCACGCATGCTCAACGCACACACTTTCAAAACACACTGAACTCACAGATATCAAGCACGCAGTTCACACTGCGCTAAAGTTGCTAAAGTTACTCCACTGAAAGAGTGTGCGCACAGTATCTGCTTTCATTTCCATAGGCGAAATCTGTGACGACAAATAGATCCGTCACTCACTTTCTTTCAAGCGGCGAAGTGAACAACACCAAACAGGAGAGTCAACTTCCTCTTTCTGGCCTGGCCACAGTTTCCTCTCTATGTAACTGCAAGAGACTCAAGTTGCCTACTCTGCTGAATCTTTCTTAAACTTCTTCAACCACCATGAGCTACTCTTGCCAATATCAGAGGAAGAATGCATTTTTTTGCAACCAAGTGCAAAGACAGATCAGCCTTTGAGGGGTGATAACCATGTAGAACAAACTCATTTTGGAGTTTATGAAATACGGATCACTCTGAGTTGCCGTCTTCCTGAGGTCAAAGGATGCAATAAGGCTGCAAGGTTGCAAAACCAGCAAGGGAGAGACTGTACCCTCTGTGAGACGGTGTGTGTGCGTGTATGTGTGTGTGTGTCACTGCATGAGCTTACTTGATGCCAGTACTAACTCCTGACTACCAAAAAAAGACATGAAGAAGAAAAGCCCTTTGTCCCAACACAACCGAACCAAGACATACAACTATATAAAACAGATACTCACTCGTAAACCAATCCACAACACATTAATTAACTGCAAACTAGGAGAAACTAGGAGAAGTAATTAGACTTAGAAGAAAAGGTAGCTAACAATAAATAAAATGGTAAGTAATACTACTAGCTTTACAGAAATGACATCATGCTAGCTGGTGGCAAATAGCTTCCATTCACTGTTAGCCTCATTAGCATTGCTTTAATATGATACAGTCTGCATCTAAATTTTTCCATCCCTACTAGGGATGTGAATTGTTAACCAACAGCCATTAACTGCCAAATTAACAAATGTTCAATCTACGCAATCAGTTAAAAACACATTATTTTCATTTTATTTCATTTCCATTAAACAACAGTTCCTGTTTGAATAAGTTGAGGAATGTTGTAAAATTACAGGGGAGCAAAAGGCAATTGGTTCCAGTAGACAGGCCTACTAAAAATGAAGCACAAAGCCAAAAACACAATAACATCAAAAAATAAATATCCCCTTTTCAAGAGGATGGTAGCACAATTACAAATTACCACGTTGAAAGCAAGCACCCACAAACGATAAGACAAATTACTATTTCCTCAGTGTTCTCAGAGAGAAAGTGTGATGCGACAGTGTGAGGAAAACCACAGATGAGACGGCATAACTGTAATGAAGGACGTGGCGGTGGACGGCGATGGAGAGCTACTGAGGCACACTGAGTCAAAGCTAGCCCCCGGTTGTGGCATTTACGTTCGTTTTAACTTAGGCTAGTAATGAGTAATAAATATAACCTTGGACCTTCAGAAAACAGAACTTTAAATAGTGCATCATTACATTTTTCCATGGTTTTTATCAACGTTTTAGTTTTTGGTCATATAATCATTTCAGCCTATTGGTTTAAACCAAACAGGGTTCCTATGTAGGTTATGTTTATTAAGGTTTCGGGATGGTTACTTCATATGCATGATGATGCCTGGCTTCATGTATCAACATGGCGTTTCATAGCCCATATGAAGAACATTTTAATTCAGCTTATATGTGTGCTCATAAATGTGCATATATCATGGGTTTTACAGTGGCCTAGGACATGCCAATCAGCCAATCAGATTTCAGAACCAGAACAGTGTTATAACTGATATTCTGATGGGTCGCATACCTGATTTTATACTTGCCGGTTAACAGTTATTTGCCGACTAATCACGATCAGTCATTAGTAATAAATGTGCATCCCTAATTCCTACAATTACATTTTGAGGCACTGCTACTTAGAGTTTTTTGGTAAATTGTAGTGTAAAATTTTAGTGTAAAATTAGTAAGTTGTCAGTGATGTTAATGAGGTGCCCTACTACACCTCCATATAACACAGCAACACTTTATTCCTGATGTATTAACATGTTATTAAGAGTGTAATAATAATCGACACTTAACTACTTTTTAGCATGACTGCAGTAACAACTGGCCTAGAACATATTTATTCTACTTTAGTTCTGAATTATTAAATCTTTCACCCTTCTGATTTTTTTAAAGAGGTATAAAATTGACTGAAACCTCAGAATAACTGGTAGCAGCCTCTTCTACGCCTATGAAGTTATTTAAATCACTTCCATTCACAAGTGACTGAAATGGGATAGTGACCCGTTGTTTTGTCAGGTAGTGAGTACAGATCTTGAACTGTCATTCACCTCAAGAATTAGAGGACAACAAAAAAGGCTTGTGTACCTATAGTTTGGCGGAGCTCCTCACAGAGGCTTATGTGAGGGAACTGAAGCATCTGTTTCCACTTCTTGCTCTTGCCTTTTCGGTTGCCACCCCCTCCTGCCAAGGAATAGAGCAAAGATCAAATTAGCCACAGGAACCATATAAGCTGCAAAAGGCTATTAGATTAGAAATAGAAATTGCATTTCTAAGAAATTACAGGTGGGCTTCAGAGGCGAGGCTCATATGAATAAGCTTCAGAGCATTCACGCTTCGCTGCAGCGTAACTAATTAAATTACATTAACCCTCAGAAGTTACAGTTATCGCTGGTGACAACAATAGCATGCTGTTATTTTATATTATCTCACTCATAGCTTATTGAAACAAGCAGAGAAATTCTGATGAAAGAGTCGATTGTAAAGGTTCAATCGATATCACACTTTGTGTTCGGAAGTAGAAGGGGAGATATTTTACTATCAATTGAATTTAACGATATCTTATTTGTGTGCATATATAGTCATGTTTTGTTGAAAGACAAATGGAAAGTGCAGACTTCTCAACCCAGAGTTTAAAGTGAACATAAACGTATCTTATAACACAACAAATTATGTAATTATTTAACTATATTTACATAATTAAATAATGTAAATCAAATGTACAGCAAAATGACAATGGTAATGCTAAAATTAAGGATAAAACACTACCCATTTTAGACTATAACACTGTTAAACCCAGTGTGTTGTTATTGCAAGTACAGAGGATATACTATAGCACTGTGGCCCACCATTAGCATCAAAGAGGCAGCTTTTCTAAACTTATATAATGTTGAACGTCAGACAGGATTTTGGTTTACATCATGAAATCTGAAGGTCACACACAGAGGCTGACCTTGTACATGTTATTCTTTTGGAAGACCAAACTCTGAGTCATGTGTGCACTGATAAATACACTGATTGAATCATCTTCTAGGCCTAATTTAATTTTAGATTGTGGGTTTTATTGGGTACTGTGGCATCTGTAGGGACAGGAAGGTGTTAAATATAGGATTAGTGAGCTACTGTAAGCTAACTGTTACTCGGCTGTAGAAACAACACTGGGTTTGCTTCACCCTTAGGGAAACCGTCTCAATGATTCAACTGTTGTCTGCACTGAATGCATATATAAATAATTTACTCATTTGTGGGAACCTGAACAAGTGGTGCACTGTGTACATTAGCAACATTACAGATGAAACTCAATACATCAACACCCTACAGCTATATTCAGCAATGCTGTGCATTACTGTATAGGTCACACATTTACAAGAACCTATAAGATTAGTGACACTTGGGGCCTAGTTTACTAAAGAATGGAAACCATTCTGATGGAAAGTGTAAGGTAGAATGTGATTGCTTGATCAAATTACAGTTTATCAAAACCTGATTGCAGCATTAAAACTGTACATGTAAACTGCATATGCTCAACACACATTGAATGCTTTGATAAATCTGGTGTTGGCCTTCACACCAGAACCGCAGACTTATCAAGACAGATTCAGGCTGCAGGCCACTTCTTATGTGGAGGGCCTCAACGCTGCTTTCCTTCTGGCTAGTCAGGCTTAAGCTAAGGAATGCTAACACTGGCTACCACTCACAAACAGGTATTGAATTTCAAAATAAACATTGCCCCTGGTAACCAGCCACAAAACAGAGCCTCCGTCCTCAGCTGAGGGCGTTAGCCTGATTAAAATCAGAATAAAACCATTTATGAACCCAGAGTAACCTTCTTGAAACTGACAAGACAGTAAAGTCCTATTTCAAAGTGCTAACTGCAGTGCATATTTAAAAAAAAAGCCATTTATGTTGTTTTAAGCTGATGCGGAATCAGCCCAACTAACTTGCAATGCCCAGTCGAACCAGCCCTAAAGGTCACAAGTGGTCAAATCCCAGGTGGGTATTTAACAAAGCTGAATAACTATTTAACAAAGTTTAATAACTATAAACTATAAGTTACTATTAAGTAACTATAAATCACACAGACACTACTATGAAACTAATACGCAAGAAGTGTGAGCCCACATACAGGCCCTTACAGTTTGAAGGGCTAAATGGGAAATCAGTCTTCGTGAAATAGCCCCCAGGTGTGAACCTGCTCTATCAACAGGCTCATTCTGGGGGTAGCTTCAGGAAAAGAATCGTGTCCTCGGCGCGAGAATGTCCTGCTGGCATGACGTCCAGCTCGGGCTAACGTCACCGGAGCAGCTCCGGCTCCCTCACTTAGAATGACTGGCCCAGGTGTGAAGCACGGCGGCCTTGTTATTAGGAAAGGCGCTTGTCAACATAGCATACGCAAAAAGGTCATGGAGCTCTTCTGCTCGATGGCCCTCGGCTCTGTCAAACATTTTTCCTCTTTTGTTCGGTTCACTGGCTGAGCTGAGGGCTCTCGTTGAAGCCAGGAGCTTAAAGTCATGGCGCAGTTTTGAGGTTAAGATAACTAAGGATTCAGAGAATAGTAGCTGCCAGTGGCGGAGGGGAAGACGTATAGATTACAAACAATTCATAGATGTTATGGGGAAACCTTGTGACTTTGATCTGATAAGAATGTACACCGCAGCTGCTGGAAAGAGCAAAGCATTAGGCCCTACGCACACGAGAGGCAATATAAAAACTTCAGAGCAGGATTCCTGTAAGACTCCAGGTCACATCCCTTATCTGCATTAGCGTAAGCACGGGGAACACACCAAAAACACCTGGGTAAACAACGAAGAGTTCAAAACCAAACATCTGTTAGGTAAAGTCAACTTTCATGTTGGACGCCGGCAGGAAGCCAATGCTAACGCTTCAGTATTTGCAATTCAAAAAAATGGCTGGCAGCAATGATACTCTAATGGTACCAATGCAGTACCAAACCCATGCTTTTATCACTGTCGGAAGTGGGCACAATGCAAATTGCATACAGACACCATTGTTTATGCAGTTAAGAAATTCACCTTAAAAGGACAATGGCTCTCACTGTCAGCACACACTTTGTAGGCCTGGTACAGTCATTCATGTTACAATAGGGGCACCAAAAAGGAGCCTCAATTACATCCATACAAAAAGTGTTCCTGAAAATAAGTGAAGACAGATATACAACAATGTCTGGGGACAGATTTTTCTCTCTAGAAAGATTCAGAATTGTTTCATCATAATCTGGATTTTGGATCGTTGTTTTGTTTCTTGTACTGTAAAATAAATCCCTTGCAGCCAGAGAGCAAAGTATGAAGTATAAAGTAGGATAATTTGGCATAGCCCAGTCTGAAGGAGAAATAAAAAGCAGGATCTCACTAACGCATATTTGCAGACACCAGTTGGTCATAGTGTTCATGTTTATGAGAAAAAAAGGCCCAAATCCATAGTAAACACTAGTTGTTAATGACAAAAACAACAAAAAGACCATAATAAGTCATTAATAAGTATAATAAGTACTACAATAAGGAATCATGAAATACCTACACACTTAATAAGATGGTTCATCAGTGGTTCTTTACTAAAGACAAAGGTTCTATTTAGAATCATGAGTTCTATATAAAACCATTTCATGCTTCAGATTGATGGAGAATGTGCTGTATATGTTTCCACATAGAACCTTATTGGAAATGGTTCTATATAGAACCAAAAAGGTATTGTTACAAGCTTTTACAAGCTATGCTACTGTTACAAGCTTAACAACACAGCAATAGCAGAACCCCTCTTTGGTGCTACATAGAACCATTTTCAAAAAGGCTCAATATAGAACCACATACAACACATTCTTCAATCTGAAGAACCATTTCACCATGCAAAGAACCATTTAAGCATGCAAATGGTCCTATATAGAACCGTTTTCCAAAAGGTTCTTTGTAGAAAAATATGCAGCACATTCTCCATCAATCTGAAGAGCTAATCCACCATGCAAAGATAGATTTAAGCATTAAATGACTCTATATAGAACTCATGGTTCTAAATAGAACCATTGCCTTTACTGAAGAACCCGTGAAGAACCATTCTTTTAAGAGTGCAGAGATTCACTCTAGTAATGACTGGCTCAGATTTTTGTAGTTTAACGTTACTAACGTTTTCTTCTGTTCAACTGCCAACATTGACATAAACACTCTTCAAAAACCAGTCTCGTTTGTTTGGCTACAGTTTTCCGAAGTACAGCTGTCAGAAGTAGCTGAACTGCGGGGTTACTGTGAAATACATTCTCGCAATAAGTGCAGGTTAAGAAAGAGGATGTGATGAAAGCAGATGAAGGGGGGAGAAGACACACAGAAAAATATTTTCTGAAAAGGCAGGAAATGATAATTAACTTGTGCTCAGCTAGCAACAACACAGCATCAAGCTCTTGAGGGGAGCTGTCAGCTTAAACCAGATCATACCGACCACATGAACTCTACAACATAGCTACTGTAATAACTACCAACTCAACTATTCATCAACTAAGACGAACAACGCCAACATGTAACAGCACACCTAGGCCTGCTTAAACCACAAGGGAGAAAAAACGACATCAAATCAAGTCTCCTCTGGAGACTTTTGGTCCGTTTCATAGCTAGTATCTTCATGCTAACAACCTAACGTTACCTAGCCTAAACCACCACAGCCCAAACTGCCGTTAGCCTGTTCTGTGGAGATTCACCAACGCTGTGAGGGCATTTGTGTTCCCCAAAATAAGGAGAGTGAAAATGTAAGGTCGAACAGGTTTGCCCGTGATTTAGTAATCCACCTGCTGGACATGACAAACGAATTATCTCCACAGGACCGAGTGGCTAATATAGACGCATCTGTTGACTGCTGTCGCTGCCGCCGCCGCTGCTGGCCCTTTTCCCCACCGACACTGTAACGCTAGCTATCACAACACAGCCTTATCTCGGCACCAACATCTGCTCTCGGCTAGCGCTAGCGACCAAATCACGCTCCCGGAGAGGCATTCTCATATATTTTGGCGAATACTTCAAATCTTTCGAGCCTGGTTTGGACAGTGACAGCTGAAGGATGGTGGCTGCGGTTTGATTTTCTGACTGACAGGTCCATCTTTGCCTCTGTGCCGAGCTTGGCCATGTTCAAGGTTAGAAAGCAGCAGGCGCGCTGTTTGGCGGGCGAAACGACAGAACAGACAAAAAAGAAAAAAAACTCATTCTCGCGCAAAAAATGGCAAAACAGGTAGATTTATTGTCTACCGGAGCCCTTGTCTTTTTGCCTGTAGGCTTCCTCGGGGATTCCCCCCTCTCCTCCTCCTCCTCCTCCGCCGCCGCCTCCCGCGTTTCGGGCGAAGCGGAGCCCCTTCAGGAGGAGCTATGAAGCCGTTAGAGAGTGCAGAGAGGGACGCCGTGATGTCGGGCCCTCCGCTTACCTTCCCTCGCCTTCAGGAGAACGGTGTTGGCCACGATATTCTCGAGCTCCATGTTTTCCTGGGCTGCAGGCCCAACCTCGTCGCCCGGGCTGGCAGTGAGTGTGTCCTCCCCCACTCCCCCCCACCGGCGGAGCAGGCGAACCCTGAATGACTCTCTCTCTCTCTCTCTCTCTCTCTCCTCTCTCTTTCTCTCTTCGACTCTCCGCCCCGAAAAGGCTCGGTCGGTTCCTACCGGCTTGTTTACCAGCGAACCCCACCTACACGTGAAGGTTCAGAACACGACAGCAGCATGTCGACTCCGAAACAGCGCTCTCTCTTTCTCTCTCTCTCTCTCTCTCTCTCTCTCTTTCTCTCCTGTCATCCACTCCGCTCTGGTGTCAGACACACACAGCGCTGCTGCTGCTGGATTCATTATTTCCTCATTTCCTTCACAAAGCAGCGCTGCAGAAACTCAGGAGCTGCGCCTCTGAAATCTCACACACGCCTGAGAGCTCCGGACAAAAAAATACAATTAAACAAAAAAGACAAATCGCGCCAACTGTGTGTTTGTGCTGTATTGAGTTTTTAGTTTTCAACAGCAGCATAAAGTGGAGACAATAATGGACACGCTGTCGGGTATTGTTTGCATGGGTTTTCTTGATGAACAGCGCCATCTAGAGCTCCAGATGAATAAGCGTCAGTGTCACTAACTTCACCTGGTTGTTTTCACAAAAGCCTTGTTTTTTACTCGATTTTATGCATGAGCAAGTCAGAGAGAAACAGGAAAAGGTGTGTGTATGACTAAATGTGACAGAATGTATGGGGCAGCTTGAGAGAAGAAGTCCCCCACTGTATTTTCTCTCATGAGCAAATGACCAAATCTAATCTCGACACCTGTACTGATGGCTACGGTCTTATTAATGTGGCTAGTTACGAAATTTCATCTGGATCACTGAAATTCTAATATTTATTGCACCAGAAACTTTTTTTACAGTCAGTTGATGTAGATGTTCTGTCATTGGATAATGATGAAAAAGTTGTTAAAATTACATGATTGTCAGGGGGTTGTAAAGATTCATTTAAAATACACTTTTTTAGTGTTGTACTTTGATTACTAACCCATTTTTTGAAAATGCAAATAGTTGAAAAGGATTTGCCATATAAATTCTAGATTCTGTTAAAGGGGAATTCCACCGAGTAAAATAGTGGAAAATCTGAAAAAAAAATGTTTATATGGGACCTTTTTGCCTTACAACGCCCTGCATGTACCTCTCCACCATGAATGGATTAAAATAGACAGATTAACAAGACGTTTTAGGACTTTATCACAAAACCACCATAAAACAATGCCTCAGGCATCAGGCAGCATGTATCTAACCATTTCACGTAATAATTTTCTGTGAGGGAGTTTACAGAGGTATTAAACTCTTCAGACGTCTGGTCGTTAACACCTTCACTGTGAACAATTCTGACTTTGTAAGTTTCTCTAGAACGGAGCATTGCACACCAAACCACTCTGAATGGTTTTGTTAACCATTTAATAATGTTAAAAATTTGAAAAAACTGGTGGAGGTCCCCTTAAACTCTTTAAACTTAGATAACAGGTTGATGTAACAGAAGCAGGCTTTTTGTCCCAGTTATGGGGGCATCTTTGCCCGATAGTGCCCCTTTTTTAAGACTTTAATTTGTCTGCTATAAAAACAAAATCGACTACTGTTTCAATTAATTCCTGTGTGTAGGTTTATGCATCATCATTCTGTACATGTTAAATTCATGCACAGATATGATTTAACTGTAGTGTAAATAGGTACCATTCTTAATGGAGCCCAATATCTTAGTATTTTGAAATTATTAAAACAAAGAAAAGTTATGACTATTAATATGAAGACAAAGTATTCAAGATTATACAATATTTCTAGGTCACTATTCAAAAATGCAAGCAAATTTGTGACACTGGCCATGGTGAGGCCTTTATATAAAAGGTCACATTATTTTTAGTCTTGCCTTTTCCAGTGAAGCAAAATAAAAGCATTTTCACTAGTGGTCTCACAACCCCACTGTATGTGTGCAGATAACATTAGCAGAGGCACCCAGCATTTCACTAATAAAATGCTGCTTTATTTAATAAGACGTTTTTATTCTACTTGTTTTAGCAGTGGTACTATTTTATAGCCCATCATCTTGCATTTGCTTTGGCAATATTGTATGTAAAGCAGCCAGTAAAGTCCACTGAACTGAGGCAGAAAGAAAAGATATGCTTTTTATATTTGATTTAAATATCTTGCCAAATAAAAGAGAATGGTTTTAGTTCACTAAAAGCCTAGGGCTGAAACAGAGGCATAGCCAAGGGGTGGGGTAGCCAGGAGTGGCCAGTGCCACCCTGGCAAGAAGCACGGCCACCCTTATGGCCACCCCAGTTATGGAAAGTGAGACAGTCAGCCATCATCAGTCAGCTATCATCAATAAAGCATCAAAAAATCAGCCATCAGGGTAGTTACCCATCAGTTATCAAAGTCTGATGACGTATTTAATGGCTTATTGCTGCCATCGGCTAATTTGCTGAGTAAACAGGTGAGTGAAAGTGCCCTGGGGCCTTCAGCAGAGCTGCTCTGTGAGCTACATTATGAAGCAGACTATGCAATGGTTAACTTTGAAAAATTAGTCAGCTATAAACATTTACCATGCTAACTAAATACTGTTTACAGCTAAACACATCATAGCTTTCCTTATACAACTAGCTTTCCAATCTTAAGAGCCAAGTATAACCTATACTGAAGGCAGTCTCAGTGAATAAAATGTGTGGCCTGTCTGTATAAAACGTTTTTTTATAAGAATTAATGCTGTGCACTGAACAAAAGTAATGCATTTAATTTACTTGACTCAAACACATCAGTTCTTCCTGCATGAATACAACACGTTGCATCAGCACAGTTTTGTCTTTCAGTTAACTTCTGGCAGTACTTGTAATGATGCAATAGTTTATTCGTTTGAAAATGATGGACTGATTTAATTATGTACAGAGAAAAACAACGCATCACTTTTTTATGTCATGTTACGACAGTAACACTATAATTTAATGTTTTTTTCCTTGCAGTGTGCCACCTCAGTAAAAACTCTGGCTCTCATGTGCCCACCCCATTCTGAAAGCTCTATACGCTACTGGGCTGAAAGATTCAGTGTTTAAGTCCCATGTGTCAAACACAGCGCACCTATTCGATCCTATTCGGTCCGCGAAATTATTTTAATTTTCCATTCTTATTATCCCGTTTCACCCTGAGATGCACTACAGTCCCCAGCATGCACTGCAACATAGTGTGCGCTCCGAACTCCTCCCCCAAAAACAATCTGTGGGCCAGCTACACAAAAAGAAAAGATGCCTGGTGTCTACTTCTAGCAAATGGGCAGTTTTTAAAAACCTAAACCAGAACATTAAAACAATTTATTTTTATTTAGAATTATTTTTGCTGTTACCGTTTGGCGTATGTTTAATAAACAGTGCCCAGTTCGGGTCGTGGCAAAATGTTAAGTAAATGTTAAAAACACAGCCGGCCCGCGGATCTGCTGAGAATTTTTACTGTGGCCCATTTAGTGGTTGAGTTTGACACCCCTGGTTTAAGTGGTCGTTTCTCTTTCTCTTTTCCCCCCACGTGTAGAGGGCGACGCTCAGACCACCTGCACTCTTCTCTGAGAGAAGAAGGCGGAGAAAGAACACGGTAGTTAAACGACATTTCCGCTTTCTCCGGCTCGCGAGAACAGCACGTGTGTTACTGTCCGTTTACGTGTTGTGCTCGTTCGTCCACTCTCGCAGCGATGGGCAAGAAAGCTCGCAAACGCAACACGTTTAATTACAAGTTAAACAGAAAGAAACTGAAGAAGAAGATTATGAGGAAGGAGAAGCCGATGATTGAATGGTAAGAACAAACCGGATGGACATCCAGCCCGCTAACCTAGCTAGCTAGCTGGCTAACGTTAGCGGCTCTCTAATGCTGTTACTGGCATACTACAAAACATTGTCAGCCTCTAGGAAGCGCAACGACTGTGATAGATTTGGCAACGTTTAAGATAGTAAGTTAAGTACATGCGTAATATAAAATATTTGTTGGACTTCACTGACTCGGTAGCTAGGTAGCTAAGCTAAGTTAGCTGTAACAACTAGCTTACTGTTGAGCGTTTTCGGTAACGTTACTTATTCAGAATACCGACCGAGGTAACCTACGTTAAATCAGTAGTTTGAACTGTTTCGATTTAAGTTTGGTTCGTAAATTTGTAGTTTCAGAAGTAAGAGAGTGCAACGCTTGCAGCCGAGTAAGTAGATGTCACAAAACTACAATTCCCATGATGCACGACGATCTCAAGGTGGATCACAGCTAGAGGGGGACAAGTTCACAGTTGAGAGGGCTGTACACTTTTAGAACAATTTCAAAACTAACATTGTTTTTATGAGGGGATATTTATGAAAGCAGGAGTTCTCAGTATAGCTGGAGGGGAATCTCAGCTGCTTGAAAAAATCTGCATAATTAAATGGTTAAGATGTAAACAAAGTAATTCAAAGTGATTTAATGAAATGGTTCATTGTAGAGAAACTTACTCAGATTGTCTTTACAGTGGTGGTGCTGGGAACCAGGAGTTTCGGTGTCTACAGTGCAAATATAGCCATTTTAATTACTGTCCAAAAGAACCCAGTGTGATGGATGTTATTTTATATGTAATGTTAACAGTGGTAAAGTAGTTGTAAATCAGGAAAAAAAAATTCTGTAGGTATGATTTTGGCCTGCAGCACCGTGTGTATCTGTCCACATATAATTGATATTTAACATACATTTCAGTCCAAAATCTTATCTCAAAAATATTGTAATTGATGTCTCAGACTTCAGGCAGTGTATTCACAACCATTTAGCTTTGTCATTCTGTAATAGCTTTCTGTGTGATAGCTTCTTGAGTCTTTAAACAATCTGGTCTCTATCACCACTGCTGTGATCAATTCCCGACTGGGTATATTTCTCTAGAATGGAGCGTTTCACATAAGACCACTCTGATTGACTTTGTTCATGTTTGTGAATCTTTAAAGCGCTCAGATTCGAAAGGCGTGGGATGACAAGAAATCAGCCAAGCAAAATCTGCAAGATATGGGACTGTCATTAGGAGTTAAAGGTGTGCTCCCCATCAGCAAGAAGGCAAGAATGCATTTTGCTTTGCTTTGCAAACACCTGACAATATGTAACAGTTGTGGTCATACCTTTGTACTGTGTTGCCATACAGTTTTTCTTTGTTTACATTACAGAGCAATAATGAACCAGTGGGTCGAGCAGCAGTAGTGAAACCCTACGTCATCAGAGGTATGATGTTCCAACTGTCTCTGAATGTGAGACTCAGACTCCTGTAATTGTCATTCTGGGTATTGTCTCGCCAGAAATATTAAGTCTATGAATGTTATGACCGCAGGGAAGCACTTCAAAGGCTGCAGCCTTTTTGTGAAATTCATGACTAATTAACCAAGCTAAAATAGACGAGGATGGTTAACAAAAGCACCACAACAGCTCAGAGTTGTTTTTCTTATAGCTCAGAGATTTTTTTTTTGTGTGTGGTTTCCTTAAGCACTCTGATTGCCTGGTAATTAGCATTCCAGAGAAGTGCTTGTCTGGGGTCTTGATTAATGGATTGCGTGCACTTGTAAGCAAGAGAGTATAAAGAAAGACAAGAAAAGTGTTGAGGAGGTGGGCAGGCTACATTATTGGAACACCAGTAGCATTTGTATGCCTGTAAGTCAGTAGGCAGCGCAACGCTGAGAAGGCACCGATAAGCATCTGAATCTAGCCAAGGTGTGCAGAAGATGCTGGATTGGGTATCAGAGGAAAAAAGAATCTATCTAATTTTGTAAAAACTCTGGTTTAAAATCACAGAATTGCTTGTAGCATAACATAATGTAAAAGTGAGGCTCAGTGGGTTATATGAAAACAAGAACAGCGGGCAGCTAGTCTTCTTTTGTACATTTTGCATTTTTAAAAGAGTTTAACTAAATAATTAAAGCTGGAGTTAATAAGACATGTTGTTGGCCATTTATTTCTTCCTGTAGGCAGTGAAGCATTTGGATCATGGTGCTTTTGGATGTGTCTTAAATAAAGTGTGTCAATTATGAATAGTTCATTTACTTGGAAAAGAAAGTGATATACATGAACTGATGCCAGGGTCAATTTACAAAGTCTTATTTGCTCATTTACAGAAATGGAAGCAGAGGCCAGTCTTCCAACCAGTGACAAAACAACATGCTCCAGTGATTTGATAGAATTTGTTCAGCATATGATTAGGGAATACAACGAGGACTACAAGGTAAGAAAATGTCTTCTAATGATGCTGTTACTTCAATAAGCCTGTACTTGCTATTGGTAATGTTATGCTGCCATAGTCTGAAGCATGTTTAGTGATAAGTAATGTGGTTGATGCCCTTGCAGGCAATGGCGAGAGATGAGAAGAATTACTATCAAGACACGCCAAAACAAATCAAGCGGAAAAGTGGACTCATACAAGCGATGTCATCCCAAGGAGTATGAAGCCTTTATTGCATCTTTGCAAGCAGAGAAGTCGTCTTGAATGTTGTAGTGAGATGCTGGAAAAATGGACTGAATGGACAGTACATTTACCCCGGATGCTTGTAACATTCTTGGACTTCTCTTGAAGTGATAAGGGGGATTTGTGCATATATGTACTACGTTATATACTTTACATATGTAAAGTTTATTTTGGAGTCTTACCATGATATGGTCAGTTTCTCACACAAAAGTGTTCTGTAAAGAATTTTCACAAAAAATGTGCTCAACAAAAATCACATTTTACACTTTATTTCAAACATTGTGTTGCAGCAAACATACTATGGATAGTATTGTTCTACAAGACATGTGGACAAGTGTAATATACATAGACTTTGCCTTCTGTGTTTATTCATTTTGGCTTAATATCCAGAATGATTTCATTGTGCCGGAGCACAGAACGTGTATAACTGCAGTTGACTGAGTTCATATCGGGTTGTAGGGCTTGTAAGACTGCATTGTTCTGTCAAACGCTGATCCTAATGGATTAGGCCTATCTTATGTAACTGTGAAAGGATTCTGTTCCAAGTACTTTTATCCTTGTAACTCCCAGTTTTTTTTATATAAAAGTACAATGGAAACAATTGGTATTTCAGAACATCATTTGATACAAATGCATTTTCTAAAGGCATTTCCCCAACTAGCTCCAAGGCAAAGGGGGTATATTTATATTTTAAGTCACTTGCAGCTTAAATGTGCAATGACATTTTTTTTTAAACAGCAATCAATGTCTGAAACATAAGATATATATACCACTTGCTTGCCTCTTATCCTTGTTAGTAAACCCCTCTTAACTGGCATATATCTGTTTCAATTATAATACAAGTTAACGTCTCTATAACATAAGCATGAGCGTAATGGGTTGTGATTCATGCCTGTGGAATACTGCAGCTATGGCTGAAATTCAGCCCAGTAGTCTGAAGTTTGCAGCAAACCCCATCAGTCACAAGGCTCCCAGTCAAGCTATGTTTAGAACTTTTTGCTTAATAAAAAATTTGCAAAATAATCTGGCCTAAAACCCCATTTTGGCACTGAACTCTTCTTCCAACCCAAACTGTTAGTGACCATTATTGGTGGTCTACATAATGGTTTAGTACAGCACAGTTACGACTACAGATGTTAACAAAACCTACCTAGTTATCTATGAAGCGGTAAACTAAATGCCTATAGATAGATCTAATATGGTCTAATGGGCTTAACCTAGTTAAACTCCTTACTGGTGATTTATTAAACAATGGTTAATCTTTAACATTCATAATATCAATGTAATCAATATTTTAATATTCCAGTATGTCAGCAGTGCTGTACTTATGAAACGGTAAACAATCACTTGCAGAACAAGTCCTTGATTATACAGTAAAGGGGTCTGTTGTCAATTGTGCACAGTGTCTGAAATCTATATCACATTCAGGTTAATGTTACTTCAAAGATGTCTGAGGTATCAACTGTTGGCTACAGCTTAACTCAGTGCAGCATGCTTGAGGCAAACCTAAGCATTCAATGATGAACCAGAAACATGAAAAACTACCAAAATAACAGAAGTACATGCATGCACGGATGACATTCAATACGCCTTTCTAAAATTGCAAACAATCATTACGGTCATTGAAGTAGGCAAAATATATCCTATCACAAGTTGTAACAAACTCCTGGAAACTGGAAAACCTATGCAAAAATAAAGGTAGAATAATTTATGACAACAGAACATAAGCCACTGTATATTCTAAGTGGCGTCATGGATGCTACCCTTATGTGCTTTGCAGTGTTGACGAGCAACACAGCAAGTGTTTGTACACCAACAATCCTTTTGATTGCATTGTGCTTTTTTCCATACTAAGTCCACCTCGGGTGAGTCTTTATCGTTATCATTATCTCAGACTTCCTCTTTGATAATGATCCCTTTCTCAGTATTTACAGTCACAAGCTTGCTTGAACCCTGACCTCACGCCAGTTTTAACAGGAGATCCTGGAGACACTGGAGGCTGCAGGCCGCTGTAGCTCCCACAGAGCTCAGCTGGAGGGACAGGAGGAAGAGCTTCCTCTGATCCGCCAATGAGCTCAGAGAAAGAGCGTCACGCAGTTCAGGGACGCTAACCGCATTTGGCTTGTCCTGAAAGGAAACACGATGAAGACAAAGAGCAGTCATAGTGTAACAAACAGACTAGGATTACTTTAGAGGATTAGGTTTAAGCTGGGCATGAGAAATTTCCAATATGGTGATCTTGCCTGTAGTGTTTCTTAATGTGTACTTCATTAATTACTATATGCTGTAGTGCGTCCTTTGCTGCGCAATTTACCAGCCTAGTAGAAAGGCCCACCATAGAACTGCCGCTAAGCTTTTATGACATCCCATTCTAAATTCATAGGTATTGATATGGAGTTGGTCCCCACTTTTGCTGCTATAACAGCTTTCACTCTTCTGGGAAGCTTTCTACAAGATTTTAGAGTGTATCTGTGGGAATCTTTGCCCATTCACCCAGAAAAGCATTTGTGAGGTCAGACACTGATGTTGGTTCATGCCAAAGATGTTCTGCGGGGTTGAGGTCAGGGCTCTGTGCGGGCCAGTCAAGTTCTTCCACACCAAACTCACCCAGCCATGCTTTTATGGGCCTTGCTTTGTGCACTGGGGCTCAGTTATGCTGGAATGGAAAAAGGCCTTTCCCCAAACTGTTCCCTGTTCCCAAGTTGGAAGCACACAATTGTCCAAAATGTCTTGGTATGAGGAAGCATTAGGATTCCCCTTCACTGGAACTAAGGGGTCTAGGCCAACCCCTAAAAAAACACCCCATATCATTATCCCTCCTCCACCAAACTTTACAGTTGGCACAATGCAGTCAGGCAGATAACATTCTCCTGGCATTCGCCAAACCCAGACTCGTCCTTCAGACTGCCAGATAGAGACGTGTGATTCACCACTCCACAGAATGTTTCCACTGCACCAGAGTCCAGTGGCGGTGTGCTTTACACCCTTTACTTACAGTTGACTGGGGCAGGACAGAAATTAGCAGGATAGAAATTTCACAAACTGACTTGTGGCAGAGGTGGCATCCTATGACAGTGCCATGTTTAAAGTCACTGACCTTGTAAGTATGACTCATTATACTGCCAGTGTTTGCTTATCGAGACTACAAGGTTATGTGCTTACCTTTATACACCTGTTAGCAATGGGTGTGGCTGAAACACCTGAACTCAACAATTAGGAGGGGTGTCCCAATACTTTTGTCTATATAGTGTAGTTTGGGTGGTGGGCCATAATCAGCACAACAGTGACATCAACATGGTAGTATTATGTAAATGTGTGTGTGTGATCGATGCTGAGCTTTCTAAGCGCAACAGCGTCACTGAAGGAGCCACGCCAGAGCTGAAACCTCAACAAAAAATATCACCGCAGATTTCTTCGAAAAACTGAAAGCAAGTCTCCCAAAAAGAAAAGCTGTAATAAAAGCAAAGAATGGAAACACTAAACACTGAAAAATTTCATATTTAGTCATAGAGGCTTGTCAGTAATCTTGTGTTATACATAATATGTTTTTTCCCCCAACAGTGAACAACTGTAGGCTTGTTTGGCTTGAAATTAAAACAAATTAAGGGGGATCTGACTTATGAAACATACTGCATATGGTATGTGTACATAATAAACTGGCAATTCAGTGTACACCATTGTGCTGGCGACTAAGAATAGTTCTAGGAAATAATCTACAGTGTCTCTTGCTCACCTGTTTGTTTCCCAGGATTACTACTGGGAGTTGAGTGTCAACCCTGAGCAAACGGTGGAGCTCGTCCTTAGCCAGTGGGAATCGACTTCGGTCTGAGGAGTCCACTACATACAACAAGATGTGTGTTCTCCTCAGGAAATCGGCCCAGTACACACGCAAGTCCTCACCGCCTCCAACTGACAAGAAGAACATGACAGTCACATGATATTTTTTTTCCATAGCCTGTACGGTTAGATTGTAGCTTGTTTATAAGATACAGACTAGACCAAGAGTAGGGCTAATATACACTGTCCTCAATGGTTTTCCATTAACTACTTCTTTATTCAGGATTCAAGTTTATCTGTGCCTAAGTAACTGGCCCTTAAAGTTCTAGTCAATAAACAAACAAGTTTGACATTAGCAAATTAACAAGGGAACAAGAGATGTCTGTTTCCATACACAAAATAGGGGCTTTGCTCAGTACTTGATAAATATAGAACGGCTATAGAAAGGAGTCTTTGATGGCAGTATGAGGGACACTTGTGTCTTTGAGCAAAGCAGCTTAATTGATTACTTCATGAATAATGTGACAGTTTGAGGACAGCACTAGCTGGCCAGCAGAATTATTAACGAAGATGGCATATGCATGTATAAGTCCGCATCTGATGCATACTTTCTAGAAAATCCAGCTGGCAGGCAGGAGTGTGGAGTCGGATAAAGTTGAAGCCACGGGTGGGTTTGCATCGTCTCTTGTTGGGCACTCCACTCAGCCCCTGCAGAACGCTGCTCTTTCCAGCACCGTCCAAGCCAAGGACTAACACCTGCCTTTCCCTCTGCTCTTCCTCCTCCTAAGACCACAGTTTCACATAAGAAGAGGAGCAAGTAAAAAGAAAGTTAGCTAATTGATTAACCCTTTCAGTGCCGTTATTGCTGGTGATAACAAAAGACTAATTCAATACTAATTACTTTTTATTTGCAGCTAAATGAAAAAGTGTAGAAAATCCGTTGGGTTGGAAGCAGATTCATTTTTGTAATAAACATTTAATTGAAAGTTTAAACACAAAAAAGAAAGGAATCATTTCACTTACAAAACAGAGAGTAAAAGGGACACTGCCATGGCCAGTTTATAACACTGAATTAATAGGTTGACCTTTAAGTTACAGATAGCCAGTTGGTGAAGGTGCCCCATGTGAATATATATTGATTGAGTATGTCAGCCTCTCATAAGCAGCTAACTGTGCCACTGTTATACCATAGGAGCAGATTTTTAACTTTAAATCAATACCACATTGTGTTTCTAGTAGTATGAGATATTATACTATCAGTGTTCCCACACATCCTAGAAAACCTCGAATGTATAGATACAGTTATGGAAATACCTGAAAAGTACGAAAATTGATAAACTGTCCTGGAAATATTAGTCCTATAAAATTGTAAAGCCACCAAAATTGTATACTTTAACATATTCTTTCTTGCATATTTTAAGCTGTTAATGCTCAGTTTGAGTGTCAATTTATACCTATCGTTGTTTGGAATGCTACAATGCCACATGTGGAAAGTGGACACTGTGTCAGAATGCCTGGTACAGCAAGGCAACATTAACATATACAAGCTTTTGGTACAACCTTATTTCCAAAAAACTTGGGATGCTGTGCAAAATGTATATGATGTGCAAATCACTTAAATCCTATATTTATTTGAGAATAGTACAAAGACAACAAATCCAACGTTGAAATTGAGAAATGATATTGTTTATTTTAGAAAATATGTGGCCATTGTGAATTTGATCCCAGCAATATGTTTCAAAAAAGTTGGGACAGGTGCATGTTTACCACTGTGTTGCGCCGCCTCTTCTTTTAACAACACTCTGTGTTTGGAAACTGAGGAGACCAATTACTGTAGTTTTGAAAGTGAAATGTTTTCCTATTCTTGTTTGATATAGGATTTTTTGTTTTATAATGCGCCAAATGTTTTCAGTGGCTGTCAGGTCTGGACTGTAGACTGTGTTCACAGACAGTGGTTTTTAGAAGTGTTTCTGAGCCCATGCAGTGGTTTCCACTGCAGAATCATGTCAGTCTTAAAGTAGTGTGGAGAGCAATATAGGTTTTTGACCTTGTCCTTTGCATACAGAGATTTTTCTGAATTCTCTGAAACTTTAAATGATATTATGTAATGTACATGATGAAATCACCAAGCTCTGTTTTACATTGAGACTCATTATTCTTAAAATTGTTGAACTATTTGCCTGCATAGTCTTTCACAGAGTGGTGAACCCCTCCCCATCTTTACTCAGATTCTCTGGGGTGCTCTTTTTACACCCAATCATGTTACTGTCCTGTTGCCAATTAACAAACTTTATCATGTCTTATGTTGCCCTGTCCCAACTTTTTTGACACATGTTGGGATCAAATTTGAAATGGTCATGTATTTTTCAAACTAAAAAATTACAGGGTTTAAATGATTTACATAATCATTGAATTTTATTTTCATTTACATTTTGCATAGCATCCCAACTTCCCTTTGAACTTGTGATCAAACTGGTTTAGTTGAGGAATGGTTTGAGTGTGTCAGTACATGACTTATTCAATTAGGCATCATGTTGTCGACTTTAATGTTAAGGACGTTGGCAGTTGTGTATCAGTTTAAGGCGCCAATTTGTGAACAACAGCTGTTGTGTATATAAGTCATGGATATTGTCCTGGAATTTGTACTGAAAGTCATTTCCTAAAAAGAGCAGTAACCCTGACTACGATTTGAATTTGATGGAAAGCTATGTGTACAGTTGTGTGTACAGTTTTGTACTTGTTACTCTACATTTTTGTCATGTATTTGTCATTTGTTGACATCAAAACAAACTGAAAAACCAGAACTGCAGTGTTGAACCTGTCAACACAGAATGTAAATTCTTTATACAACAATGTAATTACACTGAAACAATACAAAGCTGACAGTAACAACAATAATAGCTGGGTTTTTTTTTTTCAGTCAAGTGCCAGGAGTCCCCATGACAGTAACTGGCGGTCTCCTCTCTGTCAAAGAAGAATAATATGGTCTCTCTCTTGCTGTCACTAAGCAACACACCAGCCAATCAGGCCTGCATGGCTGAGTGATTAGCATTCTCCTCTGAGCATACTGAGGCACTTGATAATGCTGCAAGACCAGCAGTTCGGAAAGATTTAATGACAGGCTTCACATGTGTGTGGCCTTCATTGATCCGAGTGCCTCTGTTTAATCTTACATGTAAACTCTAATAATTTCACCCAGAGGAGGATGGGGTTTCTTTTAGGTCTTGGTTACTCTCAAGATTTCTTCCATTTCTTTCTTCCTTTTTTTTTCATTTCTTTCTTCCTTTTTTTTCTGCCACTGTTGCCCTCAGCTCGCTCACTAGGGGTCTGGACTCTGTTTTCTGCAAAGCAGTTTTGAGATAATGTCTGCTGAAAGAAGTGCTATAGAAAGTTGAACTGAACTGGGAGAAGAACAGCGGAAAAGACACTCAGATGCTCTTATGCAGGTGTGCACATTTTGTTAACACATGAGCAGTTTTGCTGAGCAGCAATTACAGTACAGTAGGTTCTGTGGTCTCTGAGCCATGTGCATCATGCAGAGCCTTGCAATCTTGGATTAGTTTGGTTGAGTAATAATAAAGAGTATTTTGTAGTCTGACATTCTGATGCCAAATCTTTTAATAATGCGTTCCGTTTCACAAAGTTAGCTACACGTTTCGTTAGTGTCACATTAATTTGCATGTGTGAATGTGTATTTTTTTCATTTTACTGTGGATTTATTATTGTTTATAACACTAGGGGTGAGCAATATTACAATATATCGTTCTGATACATTATTTCACAATATGGTTTTCTGAGCATATTGTGAATATCATCAGTAATAACTACGTTTCATTATAAAGTGAGCATAATTAGGCCTGTTTTATTGGATTTAGCACAGCACAGCTGAGTAAGGTTAAAAATAACTGTGGTTGTAGATTTATTATGATTATTACAGTATTTGTATATGTGGCACTACAGGTTTGATTTTGTCTGTTCCAACTTTTTAAATCTTAGAAAAATTGAATATCATGATGCATATTATGTATTGTGAAAATGTCTTGAAGTAATGTGATATGATATTTTTGCCATACTGCCCAACCCTACATAACACACTTCTATATCAATATTGCTGTTCTTTGTAAGTATGCACAAAGAATAAACCATGTTACCATATTAAACTGGTGCATTATTTTGTGTATATTATTTGGTGTATAATTTTGTTGCATTATTTCAAGTAGGCCACTTTACATTCAGAGGGTTATTTGAATTAAACAGTTTCTTTTGCAAAATGTAGCCACTTTTACTGCCAATGTTCATTTCATCTGATAAATGAACATCATTTTAATTATCATCTGTCACTGAAATAAACTTTGCATAACATTATGCAACAGCTGAACTTCAAGAATAACCTATAGTGTTCATCCCTCGCCTGCACTGTTTCACTCCCATTCGGTTAAAATGAAGCAGACATTTCTGTTGAGCTGTTTCTCCTCCTGTTTTTGCTGAATGGAGCCTGCTCTCATGCTACTTCTCAGACAAGCAACAGCTTTACAACCACTGACCGCAGCTTTTCAGTAAATGCCATTTCCACATGCAATTACATTTTTAATAACACATGAACTGAGAACGCAGCTTATCTTCACTGTTTACCTCCATTATGTGGAACTGAAAAAGTTTCTTTTATTTTCTGGCTAGTTCACCTCCACCTTTTATCTCCCTCAGGGACTGAAACTCAATGGCGCGGTGAGAGAGATTACTTCAGAAGAAAAATAAACACAACCCACCTCCTTGAACACGTAGTAGTCTTCCGGCGTCCATACCCGCCTCTTGTAGAACAAATTCACGGCCACGAACAGAGCGGCTCCGACGGCGCTCACCGCGGCGGTGAGGGCGACGGAGATGTGCCGGAGCAGAACCATGCGGGCCGGGCGAGGCTGAGTGGAATGAACGCTTCTGCTGCTGCTGCCGCCGCTGGCAGAACCGCGCTGTGCTGCTGAGAGATCGGCGCCTGGTTGCCAGCACACGTGACCGCCTCGCTTGTTTTGTGTTGAGGAGCGCCCGTCTGGTTCTGCTTCCCTGATTCGCCGAGGCTGGAGGAGGGGCGTGGCTACAGACGGAATCGGCCACCGGTGATGAGGAAGAGCGACAGGGAGGTTGATTCAGTATGACGAACCGACTCTTCATAACAAGTAATAAGACGTTCAATTCAGTTTACCGAACCGTCTTTTTTTAACTACTGATGTCATATTAGATTCGGTAAACCGTACCGATTCAATCTATCGAACCGACTCTTAATAAGCGACATTCAAGTCAGTTTACTGAACCGACTCTTTTATAACAAGTGATAAGACGTTCAATTCAGTTTACCGAACCGACTCTTTGTAACAAGTGATGAGACGTTCGATTCAATTTACTGAACCGGCTGTTTTTAACTACTGATATGATGTTAGATTCGGTAAATCGTACTGAATCAATCTGTCGAACCGACTCTTAATAAGCGGCATTCAAGTCAGTTTACTGAACCGACTCTTTTATAACAACTGATAAGACGTTCAATTCAGTTTACCAAACCAACTATTTTTACCTACTAATGTGATGCTGGATTTGGTTAACTGTACCTTTTTACTTGGTGATGAGACGTTTGATTGAGTTTACCGAACCGACTCTTTAAGCAATCGGTTCGATGTTCGTGTCAATATACAGAATCTACGCTTTTTAATTATAAGATGTTCAATTCAGTTTACCGACTCTTTTGATGTGGGATTAAGGCATATAGCGCCCTGAATAGATCATCTTACATACTTTTCCCTTAACCCAGCACGGAGTCGGTCAGCCAAAGACATTTTTGATGTCTAAAGTTTGATTTTTTGCACTGAAGCTGCGATACTGTAGCTGAAACATAATGAACGTATGATGGCTGATCTTTTTTGAGGGACACACACATCTGCTGTATTTGCCTCACGGCTACACTGCAGACCCGAATAAGCAAAGTTTGGACATTAAACGTGTATTGGCTGATCAATTACATTAAATTTGAATGTTAACGGTAAATGTAATTTTGCAGTGAACCATTCATTTTCACTGAACTGATTCTTTTGAACTAGTTCCACTTAGTGATGGGACGTAATAAACTATTGTTTCCATTCTAATTTCACGCGATTTAAGCAAAGTGCACAAGCACAATGCTGTTGTGAACAGGGTTACACATTATATCGAGAAAAATCAAAACAATTATCTGAAATGCCTCTGTTTCTAAGGGCTTGTGCCACAAGTCAAGTAGGTGCCACGTTTAAAGGGGAATTCCACAGAATTTTCAAAATTTTGCATAAATCAATCATTGAATGCAGTCATGCAGAGTAGTTTGATCTCAAATGTTTCATTGTAGAGAAATATACCGACCTTTTTTTACTATTCAAAATGTCCAGTGAACCGACACATGAGTTTTATATGTAATGTTGATAATGGCAAAATAGAGGTAAACCTTAAAAAAAGTTTTCTCTAGATACTATTTCACCTTAGAACACTTTGCATGTGCCTCTCCTGGATTAAAATAAAATCACTAAAATAAAACAAAAAAGTAAAACAAGACATCAGGCAACGTATTTGTAACTATTTCATATAATAACTTTCTGTGAGGGAGCTTGTAAAGGCATTAAACTCTTCAGACGTCTGGTTCCTATCACCATCACTGTGAACAGTTCTGACTCTGTAAGTTTCTCTAGAACACACCAAACCACTCTAAATGACTTTGTTTACATCTTAATGATTGCTGTGGTTTTCAGTTCCAGTGCTGGGGACACCAGCTAATCTCTGTATCAACACACCTGATCCAGCTGTTCAGGTAATTATCAAGCCCTTCATGAGCTGGGAAGTTGGGAATGGGGTACTTGAAACTGTGCAGGGCAGGGGGTTCTTGGCACTGAAATCAAGAACAACTTCACTTTTGCCAACAGCAACACCAGCAGCGCTCAAAACATACAGTGGTTTTAATCTATGATTAAAGAGGAAGCAGAACTTGTCCTTCATTAGTAATTCTTGCTGCCTTCGTGTTCAAAAGACGAGCGGCCGACGTTGAACTTTTTCCGCTGAACATATCTGACTTCATTTTCAAGAATTCAGATATGGAATAACAAATCGTTGCCGGGTTTCCCAAAAGCATCTAAGCACATAAATGATTGTGAAATGGAACAGCGAGCATCACACTGAATACTCTGTACAAGTTAGGATGATCTTAATACTGCTTTCAGGGAACAGGGCCCAGTTTAGCTATTGTGTCTACCTAGCTGCAGATACAGAGTGAACATACTTACCCATACGACACCAGAAACATGCTAATGCTAGTATGCTAATTTAAATTAGTTAACTTAGCAAGTTAGCTGTTATCGACTTGCTGGCAACAGTTAACATTAATGCGCCACTCAAATGATCTGAGATTCATTTCAAATCCCTGCTGAAAGATCAACGTAGACCAGCATGAATTCCATACTGGTCTAAGCTGGTTTATGCTGGTTTATGCTGGTCTGATGCTGGTTTAGCTGATCACCTAACATGGCCATGCTGGTTGACCAGCATAGCAGCATTCAAAACACAACATAAGCTGGTTTTGCTGGTGACCAAACACAAAATAAAGTCCTAATGTGAGTTTTAACCTACCTCTGTATCTTAACTCTTCGACCATTAGAAACCTTTAGGATTAAAGGTTGGCCCCTGCTCTTTGCATTTAATTTATTTATTTAGTTATGCACATTATAGGTTGTACAGTATATGGTGCTGTGTCAACCAGGGTTATTATAGTTTTTAAAATTTTCAGTAGTTTTGATTTTTATCTAGTTTTTCATTTTGGTGATTTCAGTTTAGTTTCAGTTCGTCCTAATAGTTTTATTTTTGTTTTTATTTTCTGCAAAGTAATAGTTTTAGTTTAGTTTTTATTTAGTTTCAGGGTTTTATTTATATTATGATGAATGCTGTGATAGTAGGTATTTGATAAGAATGGATTAAAATTAATGCTGAGCTCGGCTCCTTTCCTTAAAAACAGCCAAACACTGAAGTTCCGCTTCTAAACTCTCATTAACAGACTGAAAAAATGAAAACTAAACTTTTTTTTCCTCAGTAACTCAGTAATTTCATTCTTCTTCAGAGAAGGCAACTGCATACAACTGCAACTTTCAGCCCATTTATATTCAGTAGAGTCATACTTATATCTCAACTCTGCAATTATTACTGTACTACTCGTTTCATTTTTATGTTTTGGTTGGAAACAAAAGGGTAAAATTAGTGAAACGCCCAGTGGAAAATTGGCCAATCAGGAATTGTTTTTCTCTGTGGTATCTAGGTGGATATAGCTAAGTAATTTCTGCCATTGGTTAGGACTTAAAGAGCTGAAAAGAAAGCATGTCTCATTATATTAACCTTCAGCATAATTAAGAAGTGACAGAGGAATCAACCAATCATTTTGATTCTGGACGTTTTAGATACATCACTGACTGTGAATATGCACAACAACCTAACCTTGTTAGAAATGGAAAAAACAGTGGCAACAGCTCTATACCAGGCTTCTCTACTGCAAGAGTCACTGCTGCAAAGTAAAATATATGCTACTATATCTATCACAAGCTTCAAGTAAACATGGAATGTGTCTTTTAGCAGCTTCAGATGTCTGTGATTAATGTAGAACTGCCAAAAAAGGTAGCTAAGAGCTAACAAATGACTAGAATCCCATAAGTTAGCATTATCGCAGAGGTGGGGGTTTTCCTCATGTTTTCACCAAGTTTTGACATTTACGGCCCAAATTAAAAGCCTAGCTCTAATAGTCATGCTCTCCATTGATAACGTAGCTGAACAGCAACCAAACATAATGTCATCTGTAAGGGTAAAAAAAGCAGATGTGTGCAGTGCTCGGTGTAGCTTTTAAATAGGGTTATCACTTGCTGACTTAATTAGATAACATAGTGAGCAAGGTGCGAAATACAGGGGGTCCTGGGGGCATCAGGACCACTATGTTGAGTGAGTTAGCAGCCAGCCAACGTGGGACCCCTCGAATGCCAGGGCATATTTCACAGTGGTAGTGGGTGATGTTACATCCCTGTGGGCTGGAGGTGAGGGTTCAAATCTCTGCTCATGTAATAACACCAACATTTTAGGCTTTGTTTTTGGACAAAATTCACAGCACTGTGTTTATTTTCCTCTGAAACACAATTAGACTGCCTCTATTGATGAGTGTTCGCAATATGTGTCTTCTTGTTCAGGTTGCCCCTTTTCTCCCCTGAGCCCCTGTGCACGGGCCTGAGTTGGTCACTAAAAAAAGTGAGAGAGAAGTCTGAGAGCATGAAGCCAGAATGTTGTTATCCTGGTGGGGAGTAGCCTAATGGTTTCCTGAAGCTGTAATAATGATGGATTTGATAAGGAGATCCGCCCTTTAATTACTTCAGGAGAGCCTTACTGGACTGACCACTAAGAGGAGTTAAAGGCCTGTGTAGTTGTTTTCTTTGCTCTAACATGATTCAACTTGTGAAGATTTGGCAGATTAGTTAAATCAGATGTGCTGTGTTTTGGTAATAAATGGGACAGGGAGAGAGTTCAGTGTGGTAAAGTCCATAATGCTGTTCATTAGGAGGTTTTTAGGAAACAGCTCATCATGATGGTGCAAGAAAGTCCAATAGTGTGGGGCAATATAACAGTATTTATCATTACCATGATGAGTAGTGTCACAATGTGATGGATATCGTCAGGACTTAAAAAAATCACTGAACAACTACAAAGAGAGCATAATTAGTCCCATTTAATTGGATTTGGGCAGCACGGCATGTGAAATGTTAAACACAAATCATTGTATTCATAGTTTTTGATCATATTTTTAAAGGTGGTACTACTTTGTTTATTCCAACTTATCAGATGTCAGTAAAAAATACACTCTAAAAAGCACAAAGTGTAAGTAATAACATTTGAGAAGAGCAATTGTGAAAGGCTGGTGTCTTCACCAAAGAGGGAAAATGACCTGGACTAATCCTTCAGGTAGTGTTCTAACTGATCATGTCCTGCACAGTAGAGTTGCAGTCTTGATCTCAAAGCCGTAAATTAATGGTCTCATTTTCAACATCATTTGGACGCAGGCTTGTCTCGGTCTCAGGGTGAGGTGAACTCGGAAGTTGTTCTCGAGACCAGCCAAGTGCAACATCTCCATCTGAGGCAACTGGAAACTGAACTCCTTCTCTATCATTATGAAATATCAACAAAACCTTCAAACAGAATAAAACAGTCCTTTTTTCAATCAAATCTGTTTTCTGCCGGTTGAAGATCTGATTAATAGTTTCCATGATGGCTTATTTGAGTAGTGTTTGTTTGTTGGATGTTCATTGGTTCCAAATTCAAACATCCCCTGAGTGCCCTATAACAACCTGCGTGTAGTTCTCTGTCATGACAAAATCTTCTGTCAAAACTATTGTACACCATGTCTTTGACATCAGGCAGCTGATTAATTACCAAGTTTATGCAATAACTGTAGCTTTTAGAGACATTAACACCATAGACATCTGGTTCTTATCACCACTGTAATCAACTTTATTTAAATCTTAGCAATTCAATTATCCAGAAACTTTGATAAATCTGTGGAATTCTGTTTTAACACAGCCATTTCAACTCATCAGTAACTAGTGATGTGTACAAGCCTGTGGCCATCTGGCACTTTAGCTGTTCACCCCTTACTCCATCGGAGGGCGTTGTGCATTTTTAATTCAGCTTTGGGAATGTACACGATTGTTTTTTAAAACTGCTTCAACAGAGAAAACAAGATTCTATTTGAACTCTTACAAGACTTGCTGATGCTAGCTTTTAAAAAATTGACAAAGTGAACTGTTGCTGTGGGAGTCAGGCAGCAGTGACCTGGCTTGTTCTTGTAAAGGCGTTCAAAAAATGCAGAAATGCGAAAATGCAGGGATGCATTACTGACTGGACCAGTGGGGCCAATTCTCAGACCTCTGACTACACAGCCTGAGGAAGATCAGTGACTGGGGAAAATACACTGACAATGTAAAAATGAGATGAATAAGTAGTTTTGTACACGTAGCCATATGCAAAAGTTTGTGCACCCCAGGTCAAATGACATGTTTTGTTGAAGAACAGTTAACACAAACAAAACACATAATTTAATTTGGCCATTATTACTTTTTGTACTATTTTGTACTATTTTGAAAATATGAAAGAATGAATATCCCCACAAAAAATATGCAGAAATACAACAAAAAAGTAAGAAGCAGGCTATTGAAATTAATTCATTAATTTCAGATTAATTCATTTCAACCAGTCACTCTTATCAAAAATGGATTAGTAACAAAAATGTTTTATGACTTAACAATGACAATAGTGGAACCTTTTTTGGTGCTATATGGAAACATTTTAACAAGGTTCTTTAACAACAAGTTCCCAATCGTAGAGAATAACTTTAACCATGCAAATGGTTTATTGAGTCATCACAGTTCTACCATTGCCTTTACTAAAGAACGCTTGACCGGCCCTTTGTGGATAGTGACCCCTGAATTATACTCCCCTTTAAAACGGTTCTTTAAGTGTTCTTGGGTAAAGGCAATTGTTCTATATAAAACCGTAAGCATTTAAAGAACCACGTGAATGCATAAATGTTTCTTCTTTATCCACTTATATAGAACCTTTTCAAAAAGTTTTATATAGAACCAAATTCAACACATTTTCTATCAGTCTGAAAAATTCTTTCATGATGCAAAGAAACCTTTAGGCATGCAAAGGGTTCTATTTAAAATGATTTTCCTTACCAAAGAACCCCTGAAGAACCATCATGTTAAACTGTGTAGCCTATGGGCCAGCCTAAGAACCTTTTTAAAATATGTATAGCTTTTTAAAATATGTATAAAATATGTTCCGCTACTGACAGAAATCATACACTGTTTTTTTGGTGCTAGGTAGAACCAGTTAGGATACACGCTTAAAAAAAAAGATGGTTCTTTTTGATATAGGACCACAGAAGTTTTTTTCAAAAAGGTTACATAAACATATACAACACAATTTTCAGCAGTCTGAAAACCCGTTTTACCATGCATAGGACCATTTAAGCATGAAATGGTTCTCTGTATAACTAATGGTTTTATGTAGAAATATTGACTTTCCTAAAGAACCTTTGAAGAAGCATCTCTTTTAATAATGAATGATTGTCTGCTGAAGTAAGAAGGGTCAGAATGAACTGTGCGCAGGTAGCGTTTCTCCATAAAGTGGCTCCGCTATTAGGAGAAATACGGTCGTCACCTGTATGACGTCATTCATCCAACCGCAGCATAGCGACCGAGCTTGGTTGGGAACTGAGGGAGAAGCAGAGCCACTTAAAGGGAAAGAGGGAACTGGAGGAAAAACATGCGATTGAAATCGGCGAATTTTTCGGAAGTCGTTTTGAAGAGCCAGTATATTAGGTCAAAGGCACTGAGAAGACGGAACAGACGCGGCGTACTCGTGTGAGGAGCAGGGAGCTAACTGTTCTCGAGCCTAATCAGCGAGGTCTTCCCTCAGATAGCTAGCAGGCTAACGTAGCTGTCGCTAACGTTAGCTAAAGATGGTGGCCGGGCACTGAGCGAAAACTCCAGCGTGTTTTTTTTCTGAGGGTTTTCTCTCCGCGTTTGCTGGGTGAACAGCGAATGTAGTTTAGTGTATTATTTCATTTTTATTTTTTGATAATTTCTGGGAACTCCTAGTTGAATTCGGTTCTCCGTTTAAACTCCGTAACCGCTCTTCTGTAAAAACACTAAGTTTCTGTGGACAGTCTGCTTTTAGAAGTTGGTTAGCTGAGTTTGTTATAAATGTTTAGGCGAGTGCACTATGGCCGAATCTCGCCCATCCACATGAACTGAGTTCTCGCTGTTTTATAATGCACAACTGCAGTGCAAAGTGTGCGGCAAGAAGGAGAACTACGGCGGGGAACTTGTGCGGCATGGTGGACGAGGATGCTCCGTTGTAGGCTGTAGAAACTGAGGAACTCGACTGGATTACTCCGACCCGGGATGGATTACCCTCAGATTCTCGGACACGACGCGCTCCACGTCGGTTAATGGCACTTGAGCGCTGCTTTAGCGTTGGATCCCTACAACACATGGTTCGCCTTCAAATTCATTTAGAAGACTTGGAGGGCATATTACATGGAGACTAGTTGGTCATGCCAAGGAAGGAGTTACCATTGCCAGAGGGTTGGGAAGAAGCCCGAGATTTTGACGGGAAGGTCTACTACATTGACCATATCAATCACACCACCAGTTGGATTGACCCAAGGGATAGGTATGGTGATCTACGATGTGTTTATATAGAGACGTCTTGGGGATTTCAGATGTGTTGTAGATTCACTTTATGTTTCTTGGTGTTTGGAATTTCCTGACTGCTTCTGCAACCTATTTTAGTTGTGCTGACCAGTTTTCTAGTCTAGTCTAGTCCAGTCATACATGAATCATGCTACAACTCACTCACATTCTTGTCACACCACCCTTTTCCTTAACTATGTTTCTTACTGTGCAGTTACTTTCAGTATTGTGCTGTAAGAAATTAACCACAAGTGATGTATTTTGTCTTGAATTTTCAGCACTAATCACTGAGTGGCAGTTTTTGCCATCAACTTAAGTCTCCTTGGACTTTGGCACGAAATCTTTGTCGGAATGCCTAAGATTATTAGAGAATTTTCAAGCTTCACTGGCTCAGATCATGTTGCATGGACTCAAAGTAGCTTTGCAGAAGGGGTACCCTGAATATTTTTCCTTTCTGTTTTGGATTACTGCTATACCCCGCCCCCCTCGCTGATTTTGCCCTCTCGTCTCATAGAATTGGAACATGATAGCGATCAGACCACATATTTCTCCTTTTGTGTGGTGCAACAGGTTTGGCTGTAGCCAGGAAACCAAGATGGCAGAAATTTGTAAACAAGTACCTAGGACACATTCCTAAAAGTACTGCATGAGCGCTGCCCATAGAGGCGTGCAAAAGCGATGGCTGATTCTTCCAAATCCCTTTCACTGCATGCCAAGGTGCACAACAAGGTCAAAGTGCACCACACAGCTCTGCAAACGTTAACAAGGATGGGTAAATAGCAGCCTAAATGCACATTTTACTTGTCCGTCTGAGAGCCAGTCGCTGCGGCGCTGAGCCGGAGCTCAGGCCTTCAGAGATCAGAGCAGAGCGTTCATTTGTTCCATTCTAAATTCACTAATTTCTATGTAAGAGTTCCAGCACGTCTGTGTGACTTCAGTTTGATATTTTTTTTAATTAAAAAATAGATTGTTTCTGCCAAAATGGAGTCAGTATGAATGAATCCCCTTTGAACTGTGCAAAGCTGTCATGCACCAACTACAAGGATCCGCACAGAAATGCTGAATGAAAAAGGCTTTCAAACCATTGCGTTGACGCTTGGGCTCTGCGCACACCGTCTTGCATCAAAGGAGCTGATTAAAATTTACCAACGTTTCAAATCCTGACCTAAATCTGTCAGTGCGTCTGCCTATCTCCCACCTCTTCAGCACATCCCATGTAGACACTGCTGATGTTCCCCTGCTGAGCAACAGTTGGAGCATTCTGTTCACGTTTCCATGCACACTAATTCCTGCCCCATCAAAAAAAGAAAATCTGATTGTGTAGTTTACATGTGAGTGCAACAAGTAATCAAAATTGCAGTTTATGCTTAAAAAGTGCAAAGTCTAGTTGAACCATAGAGGGCAGGTAGTTTGCATGTGGTACTGTTTTTCACAGACAGTTAATCAGTGGCTTACAAGCATCTAAGCAGCAGTTAAAACATTATTCTGCCCATAGCATTGTGCCAAGCTGCTATCCTATTTCATAAAAACACTCCATAATGACTTAATGTTAGACTGGGCAGTGTGCTATTGTGTTTGGATGGGTAGAATTAGTGAGTGGTGAAAGACAAGCAGAAAAGACTTTTGGATAACTATCGAAGCCTCAATGTGTATAATTATGGAAATTTCATGTTTAAGTTGGCACTTATATAATTATATCATCTCTAGCCATTTTAGAGAAACTGTCCACAACAGCGGTGAGATGAATGTTCTAAGTATTTACTGCCTCTAAAAGCTACCTCACAGAGAGTTCTTGCACAGATGATTGTTAGGTGATACCTTTTTTATGATATTTTTGTAAAAAACTCTGGCTCAAAACATATTTTTTAAATACAGTGTGAAGAGGTGCATGCCAGATATTGTAAGGCAAAATTGGCCCTAAAGAAAAATTAAAAACCGCGTAGATTCACCGGTCATTTTGGTTTGTAAATAAAATAGCTATATTTGTGTCGTTGACATTGTGACTTACAATTCCTGTCACCACAACTGTAAAGAAATTTGTGTAATTTCCTCTTCAGTGAACTGTTTTGCTTCAGACGACCCTGTTACTTTGTTTTGAAATGATTAATCATATTGAATGAATTATGCAGAAATTTGGAAAAATTAGTGCATTCTCCTTTAACACACATATAAGCGTAGCTCCTTTGGATAATAATGAGGTCCCATTTGACAGTTCCTTGCTGTGGTTGGAAAAATACATCGCCACAGAGGCTCTAGTTGGCTGACTTGATACATCCTCAGGCATTGTTGTGAGCACTCTTATGATTAGCTTACTTGAGCTTCCACTGAAGAGGTGAGGAAGTAGAGGTTGACCTTAGTCATGTGTGATTAAACAGTAAAGTTTGCTTTAGAATGTTTGCTATGCATTTTCTTGAATATGTGTTGCCCCGTCCCACATTTCTAAACATTTTTATGGGTTCAACTTGACTTTATGTCTTAGCTTGAGCTCCTGAAAGTGTAGTTTTTGAAGTCTACATTTTTCTTTTTCAGGGTAGTATTGTACCCTGAGTGGGTCTGTAGTGAGTTGTAGAAAATGGGGATTTTGAATGCAAAAGTAGATCTTGGATGTTGTGTCAAAGTCAGGAAGACTCCTCCAGGATCTTAGCTATAAATATAATATGAAAACATTTTACTGTGCAGCAGTGATGTATAAACTCTTTTGCTCATATAAAGAAGACTTTGGTTGCTTTATTTCAAACACAGTTGGATTCCAGAATGAAGAGCAGTGCGAATTCCTGCTTAGTGACTCCCTCGTGTAAGGCACACCTGGGTTGTACTGGTTTTCATCTCCTCTTCTAAGCCTTTCTTGTGCCAGTTAGTGCCTGGCTCTGTCCGAAGTATTTTGGAGGGAGAATGATAAGACTACACAGCCATGCCGTGGTGCAGTGCAGTAACCTCCAAACAAATGAAACAGCTCCTGAATGAAAAATGATTATAAGCTGAACAATTATCAACTTGACAAGTCGCCCAAGACAAAGCGTTTCCCTGGGTAGCACTCACATTCCACACAGGGCCGTATTGTTTATTTTCCCTCACCGTGACACACTGAAAACATTCGCTCAGGTAAATGGAATGTTATCTCCTGCTCTGATAGGAGCTGGGCCGTCGTCAGGGGTGCAGTGGCCTTTTATTGTTGGACCTTGAGCGCGGCACAACTCTAGTTGGAGCCTCATAAATGACGCGGGGAATTTATAGAGTGTGCTGAATGAAAGTGTCTGACTCATCGTTTAGCTATGCCCCGCGTTTGCACTCGGCCGCGCGCTTTGTCAGTTTGCATTAGAGCACGGGCCCTGAGTGTTTGACTTCACAGGGGTTCCCTGTGCTATTCTGCTGCAGCTTTTGGGGAGACAAGAGGAGGACGGTGTTCATCAGCAGTCCCCTAGCCACAGTGCAGGAATTGATCTTGATCTTGAACTTCTGAGCTCTTTGACTGCAGTGCACAAGCACTTAATAGTGTCATGGGTGAATGGCCATGATTCATTTTGGTGCAGCAGTCATTTTACTGATTATCATTTAATTGTTGGCAAGAAGCCTGTGGCCAGTGTTTGCATATTTATGTTTTAGAAATAAATCAAATGGTTAGGACTGAACCTGATAACCATAGATTTAGAAGCAGATTGTCAACCCTCACATAACCCTTATCGAAAATGTAGCTGATCAGCCAAAACACGGTGGTGTCCATAGTAGGGATGTGCATTCCAGCTAACTTTGATATTTGAGTATCTGTTTAGAGTTCATGAATAGATGTGTGGTTAACCGTGGAGAAGGAAAACAATGCCAAGTAAAGAAACTGACTTTGGCCAAAAACAGTGTAAAGCTATGTACTTAATATTGGTGAAATACACTGTTATAGCAGCATGCAGTGAAATACACTGTAAACATGTTTTATTGCTCAAAAACAGCTGAAAGATTTGGTAGGTTTTTGTATTGGATAAGTGCCAATTCAGATGAGCTTATGAGGTTACAGAGCAAACATATGTCATGTTAGATGCTGAATAGCCTTTGTTGTCTCCGATGTGCCAAAATGTTAATTGTCAGAGAAATATATTTTCATTAATTATGGGATTAGCTAACATCAGCTAGACTAGTTTACCACATACGTGATACAGCCTCGCTATCATTGCCTTCTCAGTTACATCCTTAACAGTTTGTGCTTGACCATGTCCCCACGTTCATACACTTGTGTTTTAGAGTAACCTTGTGTACATACTTGCAAATATGAGCAAAACCGTTGCTTTTCACTGAAGTGCTGGCTTGTATGTTTTTGTCTTTCCATGGTGAGATGATTTCAGTATTTGAACATTGGCGTATCGATCAATTATCTGAGTACTAACCCAGTCTGTGGTTTGCCTCATTAAGCTGCCAGCGTACTTCAAACGACAAAAGAACTAAGCAGAATTGAACTGCTGCCAAACATAATACTTAAAGATGTCTGTGTTATTGGCGGTCATGTAGTGACAGAGGAACGCATAAGACATGTTGACCAATGGCAGTTGGGGGGGTTATCAGAACAAACAATGTGGTGCTTAGGAGTTCTGTTTATCAGCTGGTGCACAACACACCGAATGAAAACAAACAATGGTGTTATTTTGGCCAAAATCATGTAGTTTTGCTTCGAAACGTCTTTCTCATTTGAATTGTATTTTAGATTTGCGCTGGCTAATGTAGCTAAGTGGCAGCTTAAACTTTATCAATTAGCATTTGGCTGATTAACTGCATTTGGAGTAAGGGGTAAATTGTGTAGATCATGTAAACTGTTGTCTAATATGCTCCCTGTAAGCCTTATTTTGTGGTATATGTAACTGTTGCCTAAACCTTACATTCTTAATTGAAAATGGAAATTCCTATTTGTGGACAATTATTCTAAATTACTACTAAGTGATTGTTTTGATGCAATTATCCAACTATCATGGTCTAATACTGAAAGGCCTATCAGAGAAGGCTTTGCTGATTTACTGCCTTTGATCTTTCTGTATTTAAGACGTCAGCCAGGCAGCGTATATCTATCAGAGCCTGGAGATTAATGAGATCTGGAGCCAGCTATCAGCACCCACCAGCTGCCGAGCCAGCCGTGATCACAGCTCTGCATCAGTGCGGTGGAGAGATAAAAAAATAAAAAAATAGAATAATGGGATCTGCTAGGAAGCCTCCTTCTTTGTTAGCATCTCAGATGCTTTCCCTCCTCTCCCGAGTTAAATTTAGAACAGGCCATGGGGGTCTCTGCATGCCGTTTCATTATTCATAAAGAGAAAAAGGAGCCGGTTCAGTTTCATGCTCTCTAAAAGTCCTGAGCCGAGGCGGAAGACAACATCTCCTAACTTGCTGCAAAAGTCAAGGGGATTAGGAAGAAGCCAGATTCATTCTCCTCTGTATTATATAGTGAATACTGAGCAAAGTGGAGGCCTTGATATGCTTAGGTGGCAGTTTGCTTAGGAAAATATCCTGTTTTGCACCTCATGCTGTGTTGGCAATCATTAATTTGCTGCATTTGCTATAGTAACAGAACTTACTGGTGTTGAAAGCAAGATGGTAGGTAGTTGGGAAGAGTGCTTTTTTTTTTAATACTTTTGGAACTTTAAAGGACTCCTATGTTGTTTGGACCAGAGAGACGGTTTGCTTGCCTGCTGGTAAGGCCCTGCTGTGATGAGTGGTCTGGGTTCCAGAGCACATGGGGTTAGCCAAGGTCCTCCATTTTACATCTAATCCAGTGTACAGCAGCTTTCTCAATGGGAAGTTGAGGGTAGAATTGCATCGCTGCCACCAGCCTGAGACTTGTGCTCACTAGAACTTCTTTGTCCAAGAATATGAAGATCCACTCCAAAAAACATTACTGTACTGCACTGTGGTTAGCTTCGTTCTAAAGCTGCACAATATATCATTTGTTAATCATTGTGAAATTGGCACTTTTGCAATATGCAAAGTAGGTCTCTAACCAGTCACTATGTGTATGTATGTGTGTGTGTGTGTGTGTATATATATATATATATATATATATATATATATATATATATATATATATATATATATATATATATATATATATGTATATGTAGTAGATGAAAAGTGGAAAAGTTGGCCATGTGGAACTATTTTGCGTTTTCTGTGATGGACGTGTACATATTCATGTGTACTATTATGTGAGGGTACGACGCTCAAACTTCTCCGCTACAGATTTGATCATACATGAAAACATGACATCCTGATCTCAATACAGAAAATACAACAAAACAATAGAAGGAGAAAGGAAAGTCCACGCTAGCACAACGGCGTCTGTAGCCACTGGTTTTAAAATGAAGAAAAAAATGGATAAAAATGCAGACGGGCAGCCAAAGTGCAAAGTATAATCAAAAACTAGTGGAATTCATTTCCAACTGCCTATTGACTTCTCTATTGTGGAGGATGCTAGATTTCATGGAACATTCTGTAGCTTACATACTTTAATAATTACAGTATGTTTATTTTGTGTAAATTATTTATTGCCAGATCAGTTTTGTCCTATTAAAAGCAAATTTTATCAATGAGAGAGTGTATTTTCATTATTACTTTGTAGCTTTTGTGTTTAGTGCATTTGTTCACAAGCATAAGTAAGACAGCAAATTAACTTTTTTCAGTGTTTGATTTTTAGTTATTTCTTGAATTTTGGTTTTGGCCAGAAATTTTCATTTTGGTACATCACTGATTTTAGTAGATTGCAAGGCATATTGTAATCAGAGTATGTAACAATGTAAGATCAACACTAGGCACATTCACATGTCCATAATCCATTAATAATCCAACTAATAGCTCAATCGGAATAGAATACGTCCATGTATACACTTCAATTGGAATAGTCTAATCTGATTGAGGCCATTCGGAATACAATTTCTATCCAATTGAACCAGGTGGGTAATCCTGTAAATAATCAGTTAAAAAGAAGAATAATAGCCATGTAAACGCCTGTATCGGATTACATTTCCAATCAGAACGTGTAAGTACGTTCTGCACATGTGCGCCGCGTCATATCAAAAGCACAGAACTCATAAACTGGCTTCGGCAAAAGTTTATACCGTTCAACATGGCGGGAGCAGAAACTGGTCAGCAGAGGAGACGAAGTTTATGCTCTGATCTTTAAAAGACGGCGGTGGGACGGACGTCCAGCTTATGTGTCTCGGAACAGGACGTCTTCCTCTCGGCCTTCTTTAATAAGGACATGTGAAGCACGTTTTCTTGAGTCTGCTGTTCTGTTTCCTGCGTCTTCAGTCAAACCTGCAAATCCACAGAGAGTAATCTGCATACCATTGAAACCTTAATGAGCAGGTTATTTCACTGTTATCAAGTATCCCAGCTGGTTGTTCCCAAAAGTTCCAGCAAGGTGCTAGCTTGTGTTTGAAGGTTTGCCAGTGTGCTTTGTTAGCGTAGCTGGCAGGCAGTACCAATAAAGTGTGTGAGTGGTGCTCTGTGCGCGTCCTCACCGCTGCACTGTGGTCCTGAGCGCTGGGCTTGGAGGCCCACAGTGTGTTGCCTCAGAAACCTCCAGGCGATGGGTCAGCAGGACTTGTGGAATGCCAGGCCTCAGTTTCCGGCTATTGTGCTCGACAAGCACCCTAGAGGTGAATAGGCAGACATTCTTCCGCTGCCCCTCCCCCCTTCGCACACACACACACACACATACACACACACACACACACACACACACACACACGTACACACTTCATAGTGGCGACTACGAGTGACAGCCACTATACAGAAGATTACCAGGCATGGGTGATAACACAGCAGTGCTGGACATCCATCAACCCTGACTGCTAACTGTTGAGTGGTGTTTGTGGTTTTGCAGGCAGACCAAGCCCCTGACCTTCGCTGACTGTATTGGAGATGAGTTGCCGGTGGGCTGGGAGGAGGCCTATGATCCCAAAGTTGGAGCCTATTATGTTGACCATAATACAAGTGAGTTGGGGCAGACTATACACATTTATTATTCTAGAGGCCTTTCGAAGTGTTACATCTACTGAGTTATGTTCCACCTGTCTGTATGACAATATGATCATCAGAAACTCTCTTCGATGAGCTCTTTCTCTGAGAAGAAAATATTTCCAATATTGGATTGTTGACTGCCTCACAACTCGACTCTAGACTAAAGAGTCATGAAATATCAGTCTGAGAAAAAGCATGCACAAAACCTGATGCAGTCATTTACTATAATGCCATTCTATCACAGCTCTGAGCTCTGTCCTGTCAGGTTCAGTGTTTCTTAAAATAATGAGTGTTTTAATATAACCTTTGGTTTAGAGCTGCATGATAAATAGAATTTTTATTGTTATTATGATATGAGTTTCCATGATAAACATACAGTTAAGAGCTGCGATGACAGACCAAATGACCTCATACACTCAGCGCCAGAGAGATGTCGTTACATTGCCGGCACAAACCGTTAGAAACCTAATGACTGCTTCTCTGTGCTGGGATTGAACCCTGCCCTCCCATGTGGGGGGTGAGTAACTTAACCATAACGTGTTTTAAGTGTACGAGGCAGTAATGACTACTGTCACAAAAAAAACACACTTGATAACTAAACACAAAAAGTAAATAAACAAACAATATGTATTCGTTCTTGTGTGCTTACATTAAAAAAGGCAAATGTTTTTGTATTTGTAAGCTTTTTAGAAAAAGCTGGTGAGGTAATGCTGACTGTCTCAGCCTTTCAGCGTACAAAAGATGTTCTTGCAATTCTGATGTAAATAGCTCTTAGTAGCCTATTTCATTTCTTTTTATTTTGCACAATAGTAAATGGTGGTTTTATAATTTTGTATTTTGCAGTTGGCTTAAAGTAGAGTTTAGTTAGATTTCTGTTTACACATCCTAAAAACGTCTGTACTTGCATCAGAGGCACAATTTAAATTTTTATTTTAATAATTTATTTCTCGTAACGACATTGTGATATTCAACAGTTTTATCGAATAGCACATTTTATGACCATATCATACAGCCCTATTTTGATTGGAAAAACCTTCAGTCGGTTGGACAACTAAAGAACACTACATGTGCTAAATGTGGTGGTTACAGAAACTGACAAGTACTCTTATAATAATAGAAATGTATGTATTTTACAGATGGCTTTAGATAGATAGCAGATAGACAATGTACAGATAATACAAAGCTGTAACAGCTAGAGTATGCATTGCAGTACAGTCAGTGTAAGTTATCTAGTATGTTTATCTTAATTTCTAATCATTTGAGACTTATCTAAAGTTCATAACTGACTCATGCTTCAGAGACTCAAGACTTGTGAACATCTTTGCTAGTCTTTTGTGATTAATGTATGGAGTGTATTTATAATATGACAGCCTGTGGTCTGTATTTTAAAATGCTTAGGACTGGCAGAGTATTTTGCCCTCATGTCTGTGTGCTTTAGCTTAACTCTGTTCTCTCTTGCTCAGAGAGCACTCAGCTGGAAGACCCACGGGCGCAGTGGCAGCGTGAGCAGGAGCGAATGCTGCATGACTACCTCAGTGTGGCAAAGGATGCACTGAGCGCCCAGAAGGAGATCTACCAGGTCAAAGAGGAGCGCCTCCGCTTGGCCCAGCTAGAATATCGGCAGCTCAATGATGCCTGGAGGGACAAGTCCTCCTCACAGACCAGCTGTAAGATGTGTGTGTGTGTGTGTTCTGCGGCAGTCTGTTAATAATTTGTCCTCCCATTCCGGATATATCAGTGGACAATTCATTTCTGATTAACTCCTAAAACTGTTAGGGCCTGTGCACCCCCCCCTCCCAAAAAAAAGGCCGCTGCTCATTTAAATCTGCTGCCAGAGGAGTTACACAGTTTACAAGGTTTAGTTAACCCTTTAAATGACCAGGGTCCATTGGCCGGCCCAAAATTTTATTTCGCCCTTCTATAACCAAAGAATAGCTCCTCCAGTTTGCATTAAAGTCCCTGTAGTTACTAAATAATAAGTCTTGGTATGTAATAAGCCTGTGATTGAAAAAGCATGATTGCAAATAGAACAAAACAGTAGCAACAGAATGGAATACATCAAACAGTATCAACTATAACATGCATCAGATTTATTATAAAGCCTTGGCTGACTGCAAATATATGGTGAATCAGGTGCTGTATCTGGACAACGATGAATTGTGAAAGCTAGAGCAGCAGTTAGGAGAGAGTGAGGTGCTAAAGATGGTTAAGATATGTGTGAGGAGGGTGAGAGCAATCATGCGTCAAACATGCCCTGCATTCATTGTCTTACATAGACTGCGTCACAAAGCACATACTGTACTATACATACTACACTAAATGAATTCAGGGTAAAAATGGTGATGTACTATTTCTATGTACTATGCACTATTTCTAGCTTACTGTTCAGTTTGGTCGCCCTCTGCCCGATGACCGCTAGGATAGGCTCCAGCTCCCCCCGTGACATAGAAGAATAAGCGGCTCAGAAAATGTGTGTGTGTGTGTGTGTGTGTGTGCGCGCGTTCGCGTTCAGTTTGGTAGTATTCGGGTTAAGGCGCAGCTATAGTCTAGCTTCTAGCTATGCATCAGTCCACACAGTGTGCAATTTGCTGCAGAACGATGTTATGAATTAATTTAATACTGTATACTTAACTATATCAAAATATTTTAATAACATACTATTAGTTTTATGACCACAGATTAGTTTTTTTCAAGCAGGTTATATAAACATTTTATCACATTTCTTGTGATGGTCAATTGGTTTAGCCAAAATGTAAAAATAAAAAAAGCAAGATTTTCACTGCACAGCAACATAGAAAGCCTCTGTCCTCTACTACTAATACTGGCACTTTTGGATTAATTGATACATTATTTTAAACTAATTTGAAATTTGTCTTCCACACATTTCTTAAGACACATATGGTGTTTGTCTTGGAAGTATTCTGTGTTGTGGTATAAATAAGAATGTAAAATTCTAACCGTCAAAATGACCTCTAAGGCTTTTCTGGTAGCTGTGGAATTCTGGCTCTTCTAGTGTTACAAGGTTGTACCTAAAGTGTATTCTAACTGCCTGTTCCGATTTGTGCGTCCTGACTCTTTTATTCCATTGATTTTTGCCACTGTATCACTTTATCTCCCTGAAGAATTCCTGTTTCCGTCAGCAGTGTTTTTTGAGTCATTGATTGCTGTGAAAATCCAAAATGCTGATGGTGCCATTGGTGAAAGTTTCAGTGGCCCATTTATGATTATGCAAGTGGGCTGATGCTAACTGATCCATGCTACATTACACATAGTGTTTGCAATATTGGGTGAAGTATCTCTTTATGCCTCACTGATGCATTTGCTTACATGTTCTTTTGTGCATGTGCATTCTGCTCCAGTATTCAACCTCACTGACAGGCGAGTGAGCCTACTAGAACACTCTGACATGAAACTAGTGGCTCCAAAGTTGTAAAAGTTGTTGAATTTCTCTGAGTCTGCAGTTCTTATGCATAGCTATGACAGACCAGACAGCGCTGATAAGATAATTACCTTTGATGTCTTATCTTTTGTGCAGTAAATTCCAGATCCTCATCAAGCAGTAAATATGACCCTGAAATTCTCAAGGCAGAGATTGTAACTGCAAAAAGTCGGGTAAGGAATGCCTCATCACGTTAAACATTTCATCTTTTGCTCTTATTGTCAGTGTGATGCGATTTAGTCTATATTGTGAGCATGTTCAATGTGCAGTATTTAGCAGTCAAATGAGTTGTCGTGTGAATGCGTTATGAATGTGTTAATGCTGGTCACTAAAGACTCTCTTTCTCCTGGCTTGTCCTGCTCTTTCTGTTTCTCCCCCTATTTCCTTCTCTGTCACTCTCTTTTATTCAGGTGAATAAGCTGAAGAGAGATCTGGCCTGTATGAGGCAGGAACTGCTTTATAAGGAGCAGGGGTTTGAAACGCTGAAAGAGTAAGTGCAACCTGACCTTGTTACACAATTGCCACCGAGGCAAGCGCTTCACTGCTCTAGTGTTTAGCAAATTCCTGCCTTTCAAATACCTCCTGAGAGGGGACCTCTTATCACATGGGCCTGTTTCTTCATTAACCGCTTAAACTGCTTGTTATTCATTTTAAGACTTATTATTCAGTAACTGTTTTAAATTATTTGGTAACTTCACTATAAAGAGAAATGTCCAGGTACATTTTTGTCCCCCAAGGTATAAGCAATGTACATATACCCTCAAAGACACAACATGGTCTTTACGGTCCAGTTGTGTACCTTAAATAAGTTTTAAGGGTTCATTACATTCGCTGTCTTAGGGTAGAGGGGCATATTTGTATCTCTTTAAAAAATAAAAAAAAGAAGATAAACACAACAGTAAATAAAATAATCAGTAACACAAGCAAAATAACTAGTGAGATGCTATCATTGGCAAATAAAAGCGATAATGTTTATTTTTATCACGTTATCTCCACACACACCATACATATACATATTTAATTGGAGTTTTTGGGGGACGTTTTCAGCCATGCTAACTCACTGTATCAAGGGTGTCCAAATCGTGTCCACAAAGGGCTGTTGTGGCTGCAGCACATCTGATTCTACTTGTTTAATCAATAGGTGTCAGTATTCAAACAGGTGATCGTGCATGCACCAGCTTGATTGAAATGAGATCTTGCATCCACACCGGCCATGGACACCCCTGTGGTATATAGATGAGTTAACTCCTAGCCTTCTCCTATGCTTACTCTGAGCTTTGCTTTCATGAAGTTTTGGATTAATTTAGAAATTTCACACCCAGTTTGTTCCTACCCAATTGAGGTGGCCGGTAGCCTGATGGTAGGAGAGGAAGCTAGCAACCATAAGGTCATGGGTTCAAATCCCAGGACTAATGGGGGTATCCTTGGTTGTGCCCTTGTCCTCCCTGCTGCCCCAGGCGGCGCTGTGCTGCTCACAGGCTGGGCATAGTTTGGCAGCAAAATGGCAGGTATCCCTTGTAGAATCACTAACACTGCACAAAATTTCTCATGGATGTCTCCAGACCTTCTCTTTAGAGAGATCACATCTAGCTCCGAAAGACTACTGAAGACATTCCCCTGAGGCACCACAGTGACGGCATATATACCATGAAAGGTTGTGTTTTTTTCTGAGAGGGTGCAATGAAACTAATAAGTAAGTTATGTAGTTAGTGAAGTGAGGAATTGAATTGTGGGCCCACATATGGTATGTGTCATGGTCATGTGGTAGTTTGCAATAAAAAGTCACTGACAAATCGTACCTTAAGATATGTTTAACTTTGACAGATGTCATTTAACAAATAAGCAAAATGCAGCTTACAAATAAGCGATCAGAAGCACATCAAGACAAATTTTATAGCTCTGTTATGTTTAGAGGTCACAAAGGAAAGGTATACACTGTCAACTTGGTGACACACTTTTCTCAGTTTATCATTACAACAACATTCAGAACTTCTCCTTTGAGCTGTCTGGTCTCAGGCAGGCTCAAGAAGACGCTCTCTGTTGGCTCAGATCAGCCCTGTTTTCCACCATTTGTCCATCTGCCCTGTTAAACTTGAGTTAAGAAGCCCCAGTTGACGTGACTGGCAGCGCTGGCGCATGAAAAGTGCTCTTGGAGGCTGTTCTGTTGACTTGCTTGCGCTCCCCTGCCTCCCGCTCCCGCTCCCTCTCCCCTGCACTAAAGAATGTGGATAGACCTGTTGTTCATGCGGCGCGCTGATGTCTTCGTTTGCCGCCACTTGCCGTTGCTAAGTGGAGTGCACCCTGATATACACTACAGCCTTTCACAGAGTTTCTATTTCCACATGGTATTTTAGAATTGCTGTGCCTCAAAGGACCTGCTAGCCAGTCACTCATTTGTGCAACCTTAAGGAGCTCAACTGAAGAACATGCCATTGTGTTTGGCGTCATGTTTTCTAGGCATGATAGCATTGAGGCTGGTGGTAAACAGAAGTCTTCGTTTATTCAACATCGGTTTGAAAGTCACCTCCGGCAGGAATATAACCCTTAGTAGTACATTCTCCAAAGGTATCTAAAAGTCAAGAACATTGTACAGAACCACAGTGCCATGACCAACACCTCGTACCATAGGCAAACAGTATTTGGGAGAAAATGACCTTTTCCTGGCTGTAACTGCAAATATTACATGCTCCCATGTCACTTCATCTGTGCTCAGACTACCTTTGTTCTTTCTCTCCCCTCAGAATTGACCATAAAGTGTCTAACACATCATATGGCTACAAGCAGCTTGAAGCCCAGGCCATCCTGAAGGAGGTCAGGACTATTAAAGATGCCATTAGCTCTGGAGAGAAGGAGAAGCAGGAGCTCATGCAGGTAATGCTAATCAGTGTCTCCTCTTACAAATTGAGTTATAAACACTGCTGTCAGGTTTGTCGGCATGAGCCCAGACCAGTATATGGTAGATTTAATTTCACTTCTGCAATTAGACACAGACAGTATGAACATTTTGAATATGTATTTTCTTTATATATTGTTTATATATTATATATTTATGTCAGCGTTTTGAGTTCTGATGTGATCTGAGGTAGAATGTAGCCTTAAGGTTTATTTAAAATGGCTAAGAACTCTATGGTCACAGGGATGTGAGGTTGCAGTGATCAGAATGGATATTGCAAGTGCGTACCTGAGGCTGTGTGGCATGGTTAAGTAGTTCATGAATGTTAGGGTGAGGTAATCTGTTGACTGTGAGAAGACAGAGTGGCTGCCTGAACAGGGTGAGGCATACACTTAAGCGTATACACACTCTCATAGCTATACCTCTAGCATGTGCCCAGTATTAAAGCAAGAATGCTCCTAACAGTGTGAGTTATTGCAGGCATCTAATGGAATAGCAGAATGCTGATGTCATACTTTTGCACGCCATCTGAAAATACCCTCTTAACAAAAGCATGAAATGGTTACGCGTATGATTCCTGATGTCCGAGACATTGTTTTAAAATAGTTTTGAGATAAGGCATAAAATACTTTTTAAAATTCATTTGTAGTGGAGAGGTACATGCAGGGTGTTTTAATTGAGCTGTATAAACGCCGCCCCTGTTTCAACCATGTACACATTTCCAAGGTGGACAACATCTACATGGATTTGTATCCGCCACTCAGGTTCTTGCTTTGTCTAGTGGGTAGGCAGCATAAGAGGGAACAGCAGTGTGCCATTATATTACTGAGTTGGTTCATAGTCTTTTGATAAATTGCTTAGAGTTTTGCAAGCTGTCTATTTTTCCTCTCCTGTCTTCCACATTACCCTCACACTATTGAGGATAGCATATGGAAGGGTGGGCAGTGCTTAAATGATGCATGCCGCAGTCTTACTCTTCAAGCTGGTGGACATCTTTGTGTGTGTTGTGTAAAACGTCCTGGATTTTTCAGTTTTCATGCTGTTTCAGTAGACTCTGTCTGTTTATGGCTTAATTTGATTATTCTGACTTTAGTGCTCCGAATTGGATGGGAGTGACACTGCAAAGATTGTAAATTTATAGCCTCCTCTGTATTCAAAGTGCTGAATGATATGGGAGTTTATTTTCGTAACCAGTTGCTAGAAATGACACTACTAAATGACAGTGCTAATGAGAGTGATACATCCTAATTAGCCACAGTAAGCGTGTCTCTTTGTAGTGCCTTTGTAGTGGTGGACGTGTCCTCAAAACTTCAAATGCGAGAAAATAATCCTCATCTGTCTTCATTACCTGTGCTCGGTATCCCGTGACACGTTGTGCAGTTGGTTGTAAAATGCAAAACTTTGTTCATGCATTTACAGTACAGAACAGCACTTAAGAAATGGCTGTGTAAGGGGACCAGGGAGAATTTTTAGGCCAGTGTGGGTAGTAAAAGATGCACATTGTTTTTAAGTCTTTGCTAATGAAATAGACATGGTTATTTTAAGGTGCCAGATGTCTGATATTATTAGAATATACCAGTAATTGGCTGAGAAACTCCGTTTTTACAAATAAACACTACATTAGAAGATGTTTGTTGTCAATTATAAAGAAAAATAGTAATTCAAGCACTTTGCAGGAGGTTTAGTTTGACCCAGTTTCACACAAATGTCTTATTATGATGCTTTACTAACTGATTCATGGCTAACTGTAAGTCCTCTTTTCATTGTCAGAAACTAGCCGTGCTAAAGGACGGCTTCCAGTTGGATTATGGCTCCCAATCTGAGCTGTGGGCCAGTAGCCCCTCCCTGGCTAATTCGAACCTGTCCCTTCCTCGCCTCTACTCTGATGCAGAGTCCCAGACTGACATACCGGCTGAAGTAAGGGTGTTACAGGCACACTTGACCCGCAAAAAGTTTTAATATGGCTAACAATGAATAAATGAAGTTAGCGTAATGGTTACTAGTCTGTACTAAGTTTAATTCATTTTTAGCAACATTAGCATTTTTGGGTGCAGTAATTTAAAAAAGTTTTTAAGACCTTTAGTTTGTGCTTGAAAACTGTGTGTTTTAGTCTTAGTCCTGGAGTAGCCCGGCTGTCCATACTTTAGTGTTTTCTCTGCTCTAACACACACTTAAATTCAGGAACATGTTAATTAGGTGGTTAGTTGGATCAGGTGTGTCAGAGCAGGGGGAAAAATTAAATATATTCAGGACAAAAAATGTCCAGTACCAGATTGGGAACCACTGGCTTAAACTAGTTTCCTGGACTCAGATTAGGTCTTTGTATACATGTATGTATGTGTGTGTGTTTATTTCCTTAAAAATCTCCTTAAGTGATACAAGTTTTGTCACAGTAGCCATTGTTGCTTCTCATATTTTACACACTGAGTGTGAATAATCATGTTAATAGATTCACTTACATTTTTACAGGTTAGTAGTTCAGAGTAGAGTTTGACCAATCAATTACAAATACACAGCTCAGTCAGCTAAATGGTTAAGTTACTTTCTCACCACGCAAGAGATCATGGTTCAGAACTCCAACGTGAGTTGCTTGTAGACTGGCTTTGGACTTGCCCTTAAATGGCAAACTAATTACAGCACAGTGGCGCTGCACGTGTCAGAGAATTTGATCTGTTGCACCATCACAGCCAATGATGTGTTTATTGGAGAAACTCGAATCATGGTAACGATAAAAATACGATTGACCCTGCAGCCCTGAATTACTAATGTTATTTAGTCCAAGAGTTCAGTTAATCCATGTCTGGAGGGAAAAAGCCCTAAATATGATTGGCTTCTTGGGAATGTTTTTTGCTTTGAAATCTAAGCATCTCTGCTCTATCTTCCCAATGAACTAGTTTGTTTCAAGCTCCAATAAACTGGCTGAGAAGGTACGACTGAGCTTGAAGTATGAAGAGGCGAAAAGGAGGTACTGTCTCTTTAACAACTGTTGCTTCACTTTTCTCATTAAACTATTTAATTATAGAAATGTTTTTGCCTGTGCTGTTTAGCTGTCCATATATACATCCATCTCTCTGCTTTCCCTCATTCAGGATTGCTAACATTAAGGTCCAGATAGCCAAATTGGACAGTGACGCATGGCCGGGCTTGCTGGATCCTGAGCGGGACCGGCTGATCCTCATCAACGAGAAAGAGGAACTATTGAAGGAGCTGCAGTACGTCAAGCCATGCAAGCGTGCACCCAATGACGCAGAGAAGATTGAGACCGAAAAGAAGCGGCTGGAGCAGGACCTGCAGGCTGCGCGTGATAACCAGAGCAAAGCGTTAACTGAGAGGTGAGGCTGCCAATCATAGCAAGCCCTTTTAAAGGGGGTAGTGCTAAATGACAGCTAAAAAAGCATGAATCAAATCAATCGAATCAGTCGGATTCTTTTCTGCTCTTTCTCAGCTTTGCCTTGAGTAGAATGTTACATGGAAATGTTATAGCAAAGTTAGGTCAGGTGCTTTGAAACCAGCGTGTAAGTTTTCAGTCCCCAAGGTTAATTCAGTGGAGCAGCTGTTTGTGGAAAACCGAACTCAGTTGGGATGCTACACATGCAACTTGAGGAAGCAGAGCATAAAATTTCCAAGGCTTGTAAAACATACTTAGTCAAATCTTGTCGCAGTAAGACATCACAGCCATCAATAATGACAAAAGGAAAGCCAAGCTACCGTAAGTTTGTGTTGTGCAAAAAAGCAGTGCCATATATAATACACAACGAATATACATTTGTGAAACAGTGTTGCTATCACTGCAGTATACAAATGACACCCCTAACCAATTGCAGTGTTTTTTTGTTTTCTGTGTTTTGGTTAAAATAATGGAGACCAGTCTTTAACTGTGCAACATTGCTGATTCACTAAGCATTTTTAATAAACTGCGGGTGTGCTGCAGTTGCTCTGTGTAAAAAATATAAGTGTATTTTGTTCATATTCTGCCACACTAGTTTATAGTAGCACTTAGCAGTGTGCAGAATGAATAGTGTCATATCAGGCTGATCCTTCCTAATGAGGAGGAATAAGATTGTAGACGTGTGCCAGGCACCAGTACTCCGTCTTTTCTCCCTAAGGCTCCCTTAGAGTGAGGACACCTGCGTCTTCAGCTCAGGTTCCCTAGGTGAGAATGGCAATTAGGCCTCTTTGTTCTTTCGTTCTTTCACTCTGTCCCTCGCTCTTTTCGTTCCCTGTATCTTTCTCTCTGCATCTTTCTTTCTGACTTTTACTTTCTAGTCTTTTCTCCACTCTTTTCTCAGCCACCCCCCGAACCCCCCCCCCACCACCTCAGTTATTTGAACAGGGCGCTTGTTCTGCACACTAGATACTGTATCCTCATTGAGCTTGGCATCTGCACTCTTCCTGTAACCTGAGCTGCCGAAGCAGGGGGATGTAGGTTGAGCACAATGGGCGCCTTCTCCAGCCCTTGTGTTCCACGGCATTCCGCTGTAACTTCACTCAGACATGAAGGGTTGTTAGGGTAGCCTTTTAAGTGTAAAAGAAATCAGTGAAATTAATATAATCTGACATAGAATGATGGAAAAATAAAACATGGTCGGTGGTTGAAAGTAGATATGGGCAACATGATCATGTTATTGTGGTAAATTATGTTACGATGCACTATGTGTTATGTAATGGGTGCTGTCAGTACTTCAAGAACAGCCTGTAAACAACAGCGGCCAGTGTATAGTAATTCATACACTGCTTACAACAAGTTGCTGATTGGCTGTCAGCAGAGATGGGGGCTTGAGTCAGCAACTCCAACTTGAGTTGCATGTAGACTGGGTCGATTCGATCTTGCCCTTAAATGACTTGTGACTCGGCCACTCAACTGCGGACTTAAGACTCATGAAATTTCAGCCTGAGGGGGGAAAAACATGAACAAACCTGATTAAATTAGGTCCACCAACATTCCCTGTCAGTTTTGATACAGTCATGTACAGCCATTACTGCAATGCTGTTCTACAGCTTGCAGCAGCTTCAGGTTCGATATGGACTCAAATGTTGATGAAAACTTTCAGTCTGATGAAAGGAATGAAGTGCTACATGCAAATGTGGTGTTTTAAAGAAAAGAGGCGAAACCACTTGAACCAGTCGGCTATCAGGTCCTTTGGATACCAAGTATCCTAGCTAGTGCTGATTTAATTGATGTTGTCAGCTCATCTAGCTGAAGTTTTAGTAAGTTACAAATCACATTAATTTAGAACTTAACAAAATTTCAACTGGATTAGTTGTTATGCTAGTTAGCTAGCACACTTGCTACACAAAGTACAGACTAACCAGACGTTTAAAGTTGTTTTGACTATTGTTATTTGATGCTGAGTCAAACTTGACAGGTTTTTAGTATGTTTTTTTGCAATTCTACATGTAGTAACAAAACAAGATTTTTCTACTAAAGACTTGAGACTTGACTCAGACCCGCGTTGCAACTTGTGAACATCTCTGGTTGTCAGCATGTGACATTTTTTATAGCCTTTTAAAAAAAAGTGGGACTTCTTTTTTTTTGCTGCATTTTGTCCATTCAAACTTGTTTGCAAACTTTAGAAAAACCAAATATCATAATACATATCACAAAAATATCTTCAAGTATTGCAGTGTTATATCGTTTCCATATTGCCCATGCTTGATTGAAATATTTAAGTTCTGTAAAAGGCACTAGACATGTCATACAGAATATGTGATGTAAAAAAAACAAGTTTTTTTCTCACTCTTGTTTTGTCCTGCAGGTTGAAGCTGCATTGCAAGAGGAACAAACTGGTGAAGGAGTTGGAGGAGGTGGTGAGGCAGGCTTCCTCACTACATACACAACTGAAGAGGTAACATTGTGTGTGTGTGTGTGTGTATATATATATATATGTGTGTGTATGTAGTGCAGTATATTTTTTGAATGCTGTAGTTTGTGAATGCAAATGCTGATAGTGCAGTTTATCAGTGTTGGCAGCTGTTTCTAAACTGTTTGCTGTGATCTTTATTCATTGTGAATTCTTACCCCCTTTAAATATTAGCAGAATTTTTTCTCTCCCAAAATTACACGTCATGAGATATCAGTGTTATGTAAGATGATGTAAGAGCTGTGTAATCGAGACAGATTTGTTCTGAAGTACGCTTAAAGGCATTTTGCAGGACTCACCAGAGACTTTTGCCTTTTGAAGATGTAAAATTATGGAGTCCCAACACTGCTGACTAACTTTAACAATAGCTTTTGTCACCACTTTTTGTTCTTGAATCATGCCTAATTCATTCTTTGGTTCTGGCTGATGCACATCAAAGGCATGGAAGTGTGGAGAGAGTCCCTGGCGCATTCCGTTAATGAGCCTGCCATGCTTTAATTAGCATGTTTGCTTTAGAGCAGAATGCATTTGAAGTTGCAGAGAGAGGAACTAGGGTAGAGTGGTGGAAGAGTGAGGAAGGAGGGGTGAATGAGATTTCCAGACAGAAATAGAAATGGAAGGTTGAAGTGTAAGTCTGCTCTTCTTAATGCTGCCTTTGCTCTTGTCTGTTCTGTTTTCCTCTCTCTCTGTTTCTCTCTCTCCCTCTCTCTCCCTCTCTCTCTCTCTCTCTCTGTCTCTGTCTCTCTCTCTCTGTCTCTCGCCACCAGCCTGTCAGCCAGCAACCTGTCGTGTTCTTCAGGCAGCAGCCGTGGTTCGCTCACCTCCAGCCGAGGTTCTTTGGCTACTTCTAGTCTCGGCTCATCCTCTTCGCTCAGCTTCACCGACATCTACCTGGAACAGCCTGAGCTGAATGACCCGGATTTCCAGGTCAAGCTGGACTCACTGCTGCAGGAGGGCGCTTCGTCCAGCTACAGGCCCTCCAGCTCTATCACTACCATCCATGAAAACGAGGTGTCCTCTGGGCCGGCAGGTGGCAACCTGGGCCCTGGCCAGCGAATGCTGATTTCGCGTCTGTCTGAGACGCCGCGCTCCATGAGCTCCCTGTCGCCACGCTCCTCTCTGTCCTCGCTCTCCCCACCCTGTTCACCACTTGTCCCCGACGCCTCCTTCTTGGCTGGAGAGGCCTTCCCGGGCCCGGCCTCACACCTTGACCTGGAGCTGCAGGCCCGGCTTGCTGAGCTGCGGCTGGAGGGGGAACAGCAACTAGCACAGCTGGCACAGCTAGCTTACCGCGATGCTAAACAGGACGCCAGTACAGCTGCTGGAGAGGCTGCTAAAGGTATGTAAAAGCTCTGTTCACACCAGTGGTTACCAGCTATGGTTTTGGTGTTTCCCATTCCTGCATATTTTGGTGTTTTCCCATCTCTAACACACCTGATTAATAATTGGCTGATTTGAAGTGGGTGTGAAAGCAGAAGAAAAATGTGAAAAACACTGAAATATGCAGGACAGGGCTACTCCAGGACTGGGATTTAGAACTAGTGATTTTTACGCAACAGGTTATTGGCTCAGAAATTGTGACCTTTTTTTGTTATTGTTGACATGCGCAGTGAAGGAAAACAAGTATTCAGACACTTTTATTTTTCTAATTTAATATACCTTCAATGCATATATATCTGCTTCAAATTTACGCACATAATGTTTTTTGAGTTTGTATGTGCAAAAAAAAATCAATGGTGAAGGGGCTTTCTCAGTATCTCAGGGATAGCACTGTTAAACAACACTTGAATAGAAAAAACTACAGAGCTCTAGCAAAGACCTTAAACATCCACAACTTATCGTCCCCGGACAGGTAGGCCATACAAGATTCAGCAGCCAGCTCTAGGACTAATGATAAGAAGTGTAAGAGAGAAACCTGCAGTCACTTGAAAAGCATTGAAGCATGACTGAAAGCAGCATGATTGACAGTTACACAAAGAACAACAAGCAGTGAACAGTGCAGCGATCATCTCTACAACCTCAGCCCACACAAAACTAACCCAAAAAAAAAAAAAAAAAACTCAGTCATGTTAGGAAAAAGAAGGTTATCCATTTGATTCTAATAACATGATACGAGGCTGCATCTCTGCAAATAGTACTACAGCATTGTACATCATTGAAAGAAACATGAATGAGTGAAGAAACGTACTACTTTTTCCACATCAATTTTGTTTTTTTAAACATAGCTTAGCTTATTCTTATGAATACGCACTTTTTTGTTCATATAAGTAAGTACAAAGTCAAAAGACATTGTGTCTAAATTTGATGTGGATATGTGCCCTGAAAGTACATTAAATAACAAAAAACAAAAGTGTCTGAATACTTGAATACTTACACCTCAATGTAAACCATAGACTTCTAATACCATGTATAAGGATTGTGTTGCATTTTGCTGAAATTAGGAAATGGAACTGTAGACTGCATGAACACCTTAAACGCTAGGCTTATTGTTCAGTTGTGGTCCTGGTGAGCTGGTATCTAGAACTGTTTGCTGATTTCTTTGCTCAAACACAGTTGGTAAACTTGGTAAGTAACTCCCGAGTTCTGTGTTTGAGTAGGGAAATCACCAAACTGTGCTGGACTCCAGCTTACCAGGGATAACCTCTGATGTAGGGTACATAGTTATGAGTGAAGAAGACTAGTCCTCCGACAGGTCCTTAGAGCAGTGTTCCCCACCCCTGGTCTTTAAGGGTATACGTCAATGAGAACTTTGTCATCCCTCCCATATACAGTCATATGCAAAAGTTTCGGCAAGTAAGTTAACACATCCTCAAAAGACAACAAACTTCTGCACATTTTAATGCATAATTAGTGTTTATTTGTTGAATTTAACGTATTAGGAAAAAAACTAAAATATACATTTGTGGCCTGTACAAAAGCAATGACACTGTTTATTAATTTATTTATTCCAACATGTTGAGCTCACCAAAAAAATATGAAGTGTGCATTAAGATTTGCGAAAAATGGCATATTTAAAATGTATCTAGAGGATGTATTAACTTATTTTTAGTTAGAAAATCAACAAAACATGTAATTTGACCAGAGGTATTCAAACTTTTGCATACAACGATGAGTTTTCAATGGAATGGCAGCATTCATACAAGACTGAGCTTATTTTCAATGTCTGTAAAGTACAAGTAACTAAGACATGGACCCACAGACAGTGCAGTACAATTTCAAATTACAATGCAGTCAGAAGTGCACAATAGTGAAAAAGTAGGCTTAAAGCCCAACAAATACAATAATTGTGCTTGACAAGACCGAATGAGGCAGACAGTAAAACATATAAGAATGTGAGTAGAAATGTGTTAGTATGTTGGAACATTGATCAATGGTCTTGCCATTTTTGGTGCTAAAATTTACAACCACCTTTTAATAAATCAATAAATTTGAGCCTTCTGCCTCCTCCTTGCAGCCAGTGTGGGCTGTCTGGAAAGTGTTTTAGGACTTCACCTGACACTACAGATAAGCGTTCTGAATGGCTACAGGAGGAAGATAGAGTTACAGATCGCTACTACTTAGTCCACTGTGTGAACTCAGCACTGCAACCTAACACCCAACCTATACGATGAAGGCTGACACAGTGTCATGTTTCTCCTTTACCTCTTGTGTCTGTAGATGTTATTGCGCAAACGAAGGTTTTGGGGCCCGGCTCAAAGAAGGTGGGCGTAACGTCAGCCGTGTCTGATGAATCGGTGGCAGGAGACAGTGGAGTGTATGAGGCCTCGGAGAAAAGGTAGGTGACCAGGTCAAATTGCTTACAGCTCAGGTGTCTGCACTTTAGATGGCTGGTTTAGCGCTACAGCTACTACAGTGATGCCTCATCAGACATTTAGAGAAAAGGTAACACTGTAATGTTGGAATAATACAGAATGCAGAATTATGTGTAAGCTTGACTCACAGGCTTCTTTTATCAGCTGATTCATAATTCACATTACATATTTCTCCCACTAATAATTGTAAAACACTCATTATTTTGGGACGTAAATGGTTAACCAATTAACTGTTAACCAACAAATAAACAGTTGCTTAACCAATGCTATTGGGAAAAAAAATAGTAATTTACTAGTAAATAGTAACACAGAGACTGAGGTGTGCTGACAACTGATAAACATCTCCACAGGCATGGAGTCCCTACAGAGCAGCTGCTGGGGTATGATGATGGAGGATCGGCCAGCTGTGCTCAGATCAGATTAGGCCTGAAGTACGAAGTTAAAGAGAAGCGATTTGCTGTCTTCATCGTTCAGCTGACCAACTGCAGTGCCCTCTCCCTGCCTGCCAGCCAGAACATGTATGTCCCTCTGGTTCTCTTAGCCAGCTCTATTTCGCTTGAAATGAGCAGAACTTAGGGCAGCATTAAGAATTTTTATTTCTGAGTTTGATGTTAATTAGAGCTAACTGTCACAGAAAATGTATGATATGAAGTGAAAATGGCCCGTTAAGTCAGACTCTGTATGTGTATTCAGTTTAATTTGCCTCAGTTCATAAATTCGGCTAAAGCTTCCTTCTCAGAAAAGTCTCCTTCTCAAAAGTCTCGTTTTATGTTTTAAAAGCTTACTCTACAACACTCTAAAGGAGACGTTCAGTCATACAAAGGGAAAGGGCTTTAGCTTTTCATTCTTGTTAGAGATGTTAGCCTTATAGCTTTAGTTTTGAACTCCAGAAGCAAAACATCAACTTAAAATGGTTATAAATTATGGGTATAATTTATTAACCTTGGGGTATGAGTGAGCTCTTAATAATCAGGAACCATTGCTTTTTCCTTTTATATCTTAATGATTGCACATTTATAGACAGCAAAGCTTTGCCCTGCATTATATTCTGAGACCCACCCTACTTACAGGTCTCTGGCTTTTTATTTCAACCCCCTATGGCTGAGTAGTGCACTGTGGCACAGATCCGTTTTCTCGCCTCCACAGATATGTTCGGGCGGTGGTACTGCCCTGCCCAGAGGCCACTCGCTGCCTGTTCCGCACCCGTGGCTCCTTGCCCCACGACACAGTGGAGATGAACGAAGTGTTTAGTGTGCAGCTCTCTCCTGCCGTGCTTAGACAGAAAACCCTGCGCATTGATGTCTGCAGCACCAGCAAGCCTGGAAGAGAGGAGTGCCTGGTAGGTCTGCTTTAGGTTCAGTTCACAGCTGTCTGCTACACGCCTGTATGTCAAGGTTTGGAGCTGGTTGGATTGAGCAAAGGTTATTCAGTCATTTAATCTTGTGCTAAATAATCTGGCTTTAGGGATAGACTTGAAAACTAGTAAGACCTGGGTAATGCTTTCATCATAGATGGAGCATTCATGTATATTATGAAGTTATGAAAAGGGAGCAGCTAGTGGTACCTTTGGGACTAGTGATGTATAATCCACATCCTACCAGACTAAATGTCTGTTTAATTCTCATTCTGCTTTTTATCTTTTCAAGGCTGGTGCTCAGATAAGTTTGGCTGATGTGGACTGTTCAGAACAGTGGTGCACCAAGTGGTATAACCTCCTCAACTACATGTACATTGCAGACATGGATGGCAAGCACAAAGAGCCAGAGACCTCCACACAGCCAGAGGAGGTGATAAACATACAGACACGTGCAGGCCAATGACAAATAAGGCTTTGAGCATTATCATTGTGAAAAATTCTTATTACAAACATCATAATGTGCATTTTTGTAGCTGCAAGAATGTATTAAAATCATTGATATTTGTTTCATAGCTTCTATGAAGGTAAAAAAAAAATTTGATTTTACCTCCCAGAAAATGTCAGTGGTGCAACCACCCATTAATAAAAACCGTGTATATTTTAAAATTATGTACCACTGTTGAAAATGTATAGAATCTATTATTTGTACTAAATGTTAAATATTAAATATTATTGAAAAACCTACAGACCTTAGCACTGCACCATGAAGGTCACTTGGTGGTTGTCTTTATGGTGCAATACTGTGCCCATTCGTTTTTTGTAAATATGTCAGAATAAAGATCCATTGTCAGCTGTGCCACATGACATTCAGGGAAATCTGAATGTATGGACAAATGTTTTTCAACATGTTATGTAACAGAAATTTATTTTTTTAACTAATTTATTTAGAATAGATGAAATGTTATTTAGAATAGCCTAAATTACCTTTTGAATAGTTTACTTATTATGCATATATGGTAGAATAGTCACACCGCTTGACAGTTTTTGACTTTGGAAGGATCAGAAGCCTAAAATACATTTTAATGCGCTGAAAATGTATTTACATAAATAAGGTATTGTAGAATATGATACGTCATATGTTTATTAAATTATTTAGTAAGAAAATTATGAACACACAAAATGCACATCGTTTTATTGATATTGTGTGTATATATGTATATTGCAATTTCTGAGTTTCCAGTCTCAATTAATTTAAAATCCTATCGTGTTGCCAATGACAACAGTGTATTTCTGTTCATCACACCTTTAGACTACGATACCCAGCGCCGCAGAAAACCCCGCAGCTAACTTACAGAATGCACCTGAGGAACACTGGTGAGTGGCCCTCTGTTACTATTAAAACTAAACACTGTTCTGTGATGAATCACATTTTGCCTTTAGTTAGTAGCTAAGTAACCTTGAAATGTCCAGCATAGCCTGATGCTAAAGAGTCGCAAGGAACATTACAACTTAGCGCAGAGAGCAATAGGAGTTGTTTCTGAGTCTGTCCGGAATGAAGGGGAATAATGAGTGTATTCCCCAGCCGAGGTGGCCCTTGCTCCATCAGTCAATGGAGAGGCCGTGCTACAGCTACATCCTGTCTCTCACCTGCAAGCCCCAAGCCCAAACAAAGACAGACTGGTTTGAATTTCGACTCGCACCTCCGCTTGTCCTCACTGCAAAATACCTGAGCTCTCATGGGGATGCTTCCACAGCGTGGTGGCCCAAAAGAAAACTTACTCACTTTTCTTTCCTCCTTCAAGAGACTGGTTCAGATGGTGTGCCCGTCAAAACTGTTATAACAAAGAAGCCTGGGTGCTTTTAAGAGGAAATCTGCATTTTTAGAAGCAAACTCATATCTGCAGTCATTATGCAGCCAGCTAACAGCTTTCTGCTTAAAACCTGGAAAAACTGCTAAACCTGGAAAAAAAAACATGACTGCATGGAACAAGGTTTCGGATCAGTTTTGTGTTAAATGAACCATTTGACAGTTGAAGAGGATGTTTGTCAACCTGTGTTTGGTGAGCAAGTTTGGTTGATTTACACTTCAAGGGATTTTTGAAATTACAGACACACCAGAACTCAGTGAGACTTTATCCCATTACTTACGTTTGCTTGGCTGAACCAGAATCTCACGCCACAGAAACGGCACTCGGAAAATATGCAGGCCTAACTCCTGTAATTCCCCGCATGACTCAAAACCATGACCTGCTTTCCGAGCAGCTGAAACGGTCTCTCTTTTCCGCATAGAATTCGAATAGATAAGGAATGTGGCCCAGCCGCATTCTACAGCGAAAGAACAGCTCCGCCCTTCCTTGCTCATCCCTCTGTGGTATTTGTTTTTTTGACATTAGATTCTTTATGGTTTATTGTCGACAGATTGATGTTTAATGGTGTGCAGCTTTATTACGGGCTGTGGTTGATCCATTTATCAGGCTTAGGCGCTCTCTGGGTTTCGTTGAGATTTTTAGATTGATTAATGTGTTGATTGATGCGTTTTCTGCTATTCTGTGCTCTGTGTTTTCAGGCACACAGATCCTCTGGAGGGTGACGTCTTTGTGGATGGGGTGGGCAGTGACATTGAGGGGGAAGAGTTTTACCCTGAAGGTTGCCAGTGGGAAGTGGAAGAGGAGGATGAAGAGGAGGTGGCCCAGCCTGTTCCAGCAGCAGCTATCCCAGAAAAGGTTTGCTTTCTTACTTACAAAACATTTTCCCCAGACACTTAGATCCTTTACAGTTATGTAACCACTTTTTTGTGTTTCCAGTCGAAATGGCCATTAAGTACAAATGTTTCAGTGTCAGGGAAAAAAAGCAGGAAACATATATTCAACAGGCAATTGTACAAAAAACTCCAACACTAAGTATAATATCAGATCTATCTATATATGATGTGTTCACTCCTTACTTGTGTGCATCTTACCACACTTTAACTCTTCTGTCCTCCCAATCTTTGATTGATCGGTGAGTTACAGCTGTGTCCTACCAAAAAGATGATGACATTATGTTCCCCTTCAAAGATGCACACATTTCACACAAGCACTTCCCTGAAAACACTGTAGGTGCCCTGCAGTTTCTCACATGTGCATCTAAATGTCTGAGATATTTCTGAAGAGATTAGATATAACATAATCCACTTTTTAACTGTAGTCAAAAAATATAAAAAAATGGGAATCGTAGCAATCGTGCAATTCATCAAGCTCCTCTCTTGCTTCAGATCTGCAAAAATCCAGAGGTGTTTCTGTCCATCCTTCTGCTGTGAGAAAACTACTCAATGCTATTGGTCTGAAAGGATGTGTAGCTGTCAAGAAGCCATTACTGAGGAAAAAAAATAGACAAAAGGAGAATTAGAAATTTTCACTATAACACTATAATTAATTGGGATTACTTGAAGCAGAAAATGCAACTAACCTAGAAAATGTGGAAAAATATCTCTGCATAATTTTAAAAAAAAAACTGCAAGCAAGTCTCCTAACTGTTAAATATATGTTTTCTTCTTTTTCCCTGACACTGAAAAATGAATAATCTGTACCTAATGTCTGTTTTGGATGGAAATTCTATAAATGGAAAGGTGGTCTCTGGCTTTTGCACAGTACTGTATCATGTGACAATATGGCACAGTTTCTACCAAAACGCCCAGACATTTAAGCTCTTTAGAGCTGTGAGCTGCTGACATTTGCTGTTTGTTACTGTATCCTAATGTGGTGTTTCCCAAGACCAGTCTTGGATCCCCCCTGTATACTCCATACTTCTGTGTTTATCCTGCCTTGAAACACCTAGTTCAACTCAAGAAGGAGTTTACAGTGAGATATATGTAAATCAGATGTATTAGAGCAAGGAAAAACAAAAATATACAGCACAAGGGGGCTCCAGACCTGGGGTTGGGAAACCTTCGTAATGAGCCAAGGCTGAGCCAAATGTGTGTCGGAATCTTCTGTGCTTTTTGTGTAGTTGCTGATTCAGAAAAAGTTTTACTAAAAAGTCATTTTGAAGATATGCTGTTGTAAGGATCTGTGATTCATGATTATCTTTTGGATGTGACAGGTGAATAAGGAGACAAGCATGGAGGGCCTACCTAGCTCTGCCTCTGTGGTCCGGCCTAAGGAGCGGCGGCCTGAAATCAACCAACAGAATCCTTTTATGAGGGGCAACACTATTATCCGCTCCAAGACCTTCTCCCCAGGTCCCCAGAGCCAGTATATCTGCAGGGTCAGTGCGCATATACATATATATATACTCCACTGGAAATGAACTTGAATGGTTTTAAATATAGCCATTACAAATATGAATAAAAATTGAGCAATTTACAAATTGCTTCTTGCAGATATGTTTTTATCCTTGTTTTTGATTGGCTCTACATTTGCCTACTCCTGCATGTCATGTAGAAACACTGGTTGGCTGTTTTGCAAGTCAGTCAGTCCCCTTTCTGTCAAACTATCTGGGTTTGGCCAAGTTCAGCAATGATGTCTCTACAGCTACAGCAGAGCAAAGCCATATAGTATATTCTTAAACAGCCTAAAAGAAAAACTCTTTTCTAACAAAGGTATATGTTGAATTGTTACATGGCTGCTAACAACCTTTATTTATTTCAGAAAAGAAAAATAATATGCTGTTGCCAGTTAAGTCAAATATAGAACTATATAGAAAATATACTATTTTTCACAACTCACAACACCTGAATGCTTTGTTAGGGTCAACAAAAAATATTTATTTATTGATATGTTAAATTTAAATTACTTTTTAAAATTTACTTCTGCATTCACTACAAACGTGCATTATTAGTATAAGTTGTGGAAATGTGTCAAAAATGGGTATTTAAGGCTCCCGAGTGGCGCAACTGTCTAAGCGTTGGCCCTGTCATCAGGAGATCGCGAGTTCGGTCCCTGGTGATGCTACAGCCATCCGTAGCCGGGAGTCCAAGAGAGCACAATTGGCCTCGCTCTCTCTGGCTGGGTAGGATGGCCCCTCCTTCTCCCCCCATCACTTAACGCGATGCTAGTCAGCGCAGGCATCTGTTAGCTGATGTAACAGATCTGGCGGTTGGCGCTTTCCTCCGAGCACGTTTGGCTGTCCAATGACGTTGCGTGAGTGGCAGTTCGAAAAGATGAGGTGGCTGTTTTCACAGGTCTTGGAGGAAGCCTGTGTTAGCCTTCACCCTCCTAGCTTTGGTAATATTGTGTGACTGGGGGAGTCCTAACTAGCAGGTGGAATTGGAAATGACTAAATTGGGGAGAAAATTGGGTAAAAATCCAAAAAAATTATATATATATAAAAAAAGGGTATTTACCAATTTTACAGTGTGGCAGTCAAGGTCGTCTTACAGCTCACAAGTGATATCGTACATTTATCGATGGACTTGATCTGTCCACATTCAGTCCTGTTTAGCACTTAGAATTGTCTTTATTGCTAAGAACTTGCGTGTGTACATTATCGTCTTGAAACATCTCCAAAATCTCTGCCATGTTTTTAAGTTTCTTACATTGCCTAATAATGTTAACGGAGCATTTTCCCTTACCTGAAATTACCTGAAGTTTTCTGGGAACTGACAAGTTTAAAAACTTTATGCTTGAGGATATACTTAAGGGAATTTCAATACATAAGGAAAAATATAAGGGTGTGTGACAGTTTCACTAATGGAAACGCTTAAGTATCCCTTAAGGCTTCTTGGTGCAACACACTTAACCTTAAGAAGTACTTAAGGGTAGTCTTAATCAAAATTTCAACTTAGTTTTTTATACAACCAGCGAGAGTTCTCCAGAACCAGAACATCAGTAGGTTACAGTTTAACATATACGTGTATTCTCACGCTTTCTTGTTTATGTTCTTCTTTAGATTAACCGCAGTGACAGCGACAGCTCCACATTGTCCAAGAAGTCTCCCTTCGTCCGGAATGCCTCAGAGAGACGCAGCGTCCGCATTAAAAAGGTAAGTCATAAACTTCACACTTCCCACAGTCACATTAGCATTTCCTCCCAACAGCACCTTCCTCACTAATTATCAGAACTGCAGTTTCCTATGAAACACCCACTGCATTACGAACCTGAAGACTTTAAGTACAAATTTGCACAGTCATAGCTGGCATTTTATTATTTCAGAGAAACACCACACCTGTTTTCCTTCCTGAAAGACCAAAAGAATTTTGTTCTCCGAAAAGAGAAGGTGAATATGTGATCAGCAGTTTAATATTTAATGCTGACATTTCCTGACTGACCCAAGGTCAGTGTTAATGAAGTGCCAGCTGCCTCAGAGGAAGTAGGTGTGCCGGCCCCCTGTGTGGCTTCCCAGGCACTCTGGAAAGGTCAAGTTCACTCTTGACTGCGCTGTTAGATGATGAAGTTCATTAAGGAATTTAAGGAAGCTTATTGAGAGCACAAGTATAAAGAAGCATTTGTGCTTGATGAAAATGGCATCGCTAATTCAGTACCTATAGCCGAGACATGCCAACGTACCTTAAACAGTAAAATAGTTTGACTAGTTTGCCATACAAAACACATTGCAGTAGAAATACCTTGAAACCAGTGGTCTGGATCTGTCTCATAAAGCAGGATTTCTTGCTTTCTTGGTTAAGTAACAAATACAGTGGTTAATTCAATTTAACCACTGTATTTTCTGTCTCGAGATGATCGGCCACTTTTTAACTAGGTTACAGTACTATAGCAACTTAAACTGCATGTGTAAGCTGCATGTGTAAGCTGCCCCGTGGCAGGGTCGGGATTTCATATCATAAACAACTCCAATCAGGGACAGTTTTCTGATGGAGGCAGACCCCACTGGTCCATTTTGGGCCAACTCTCACAGCGCCAGGAGTGACAGCCTTGCTTTTTAGTGTTATAAATGCTTTTTATTGTTATAAATGCTTTACTTTCTGCATATTTACATAGTAGCATTCATTTTTATTGGAAAATAAGCTGGTTAACTCCTCATGTTTTTTGGATTGGCTGTTTGTAATAAACATCACCCTTTCATGCGCACACACACAGGAATCAGTCATGGCTTGAGCATCTAAATTTGAGCTAACAGAGAAAGTTGTGAAATGTTGAATGGCATAAAAACAACTTAACTACTGTTACATTTGATAGGTTTTGTTAAGCTGAAACATAAGCTAATAGGTATATATATATATATATATATATATATATATATATATTATTATTTATTTTTTTTTTTTTCTAAACATTTTTGGCAAGTTCATTAAAATATGCATTCGTAATTCACAGGATAATCATATATCTTCATATCAAATTCTCATAGCTCTGAACAGTGTTTTCCATTCATATGAAGTTAGAGTGCATAAAAGTTCAGAGACAAGCTAAGAGCTGTCAGTTGATTTATTTAGACCCCTCTGCTGTTATGGTTGTCTTAAAACCCCTATGCTGCTGTTGTGGTATGAAAAAGAAATGAACTGTGTACTGAGGTCTATAAATATAAAACTAAGATCTGCCTTTTTCTCCCTCCCACCGTCCACCCCCTCCCCTACACTCTCCCCCACCACCCCCCTCCAGCCTCCAATGCAGGTACGTGGGCTGGACGGTGTTCTGCGGACCCCTCTGGACCTGGAGCTGGAGTTGCAAGTGTCACGGACACGTCACAACCGGCTGAGCGAGGAGCTGCGTGTGCTGCGGCAGCTGAAGGAGCAGCTGGAGAGCGCTCGGCAGCAGGGCCAGCACAGCCTCCCTGCCTGGGTACAGGAGGATGAACGTTTTCGTCTGCTGCTCAGACAAGCCGAAAAACAGGTGAGGCACTGCAATTGCACATACACAACCAGCATATCTGGCACCCACTGTTCTTGGTGTGCAACGAGTCAAATGTTCTGCCAGGGTCGAGAAGGTTGCTTTCAAAATGTGTTCCAGTACAGATTACTCATTAGAAGCTTAACACTTTAATCTGTAAAGCATTCTAAAAGATTACACAATTCGTGTCGTCATTTCTTTCCATTTAAAGGTGGTGTAATTAAGATTTTTCCCAGACTTTGTCATGTCTGCAGTTTCTGTTAGTAACACAATGTAAATGTCTCCATTTGAGCCCACATGATCAAACTTGCTGTGTTTGGACCAGTGGGATCAGTGACAAGAAAATCTGAAGGATTTTTGAAAGGTCACTTCAGAAATAGCAGCCACAGAGATGATCGTCACTTAGTAATATTTTGCATATGTAACATGTTTGAGACGATCCTTTATCAAATTCAGTTGTGGAATCGCTGTGATCTTGTCTAATTTACTTTTGAATTATGCATTTGAAGAGTAATTAAAAATTACTGGCTATTTTTTATCCAGTGAAAGTATTTCTATTGGGGTCCATGTTTATCATCTGTGCTGTGCTTTCTTGATGTTGGCAGACTCAAGAGGAGCAACTGCAGGAGCAAAGAGTGGAGAAGATGATGCGGGCGGCAGCTAAGGAAGTGCACAAGATTCGAGGGCAGAGCCGTAAAGAGGGGCCTGAAGTCCAGTCCTTCAGGTGAACGTTACATAAAGCTTTATTACACCTTGTATTAATGTGTTTATTTATTTTTTTTATTGGATAGTATCAGGAAATACTTAAATTGCGTCCACAGTAACCAGTGTAACCAGATGAGATTCCATTGATACGTAAAAAGCAAATCAACACATGCAGCGGTTTGCAAAAGTTTGAGCATCCCTGGTCAAATTACATATTTTGTTGATTTTGTATGTGAAAATAAGTATCTCTGACCATTTTAAAATGTGGTTTGAGTGATCCGATTATGACCAATCATAATGCATCCTAGGTGTTTACATCTGATATTTTACAGGGTCAACTGAACGTGATCCGATCACTAAAAACAAATGCTAATGTGAGGTGTTAATAGTACATAGTTTCTCTAGGACAGGGTCGGTCACTAGAACGTTTCCAAATCATTTAACTTTCCATTACAGAATTACTAACCCAACTAGCAGTGAAAGTAAGCTAGTTGCTTACTCTCATGAGCATCTTTCGGTTGAAATGTTTCTTTAATCTTGCCCTTATTGATTGTTGAAATCCATTATGAATAATCAGGCAGATTTATATTTCTGTTTGGGTTCGTCTTTCCTTTTTTCTGCATTCCTAGAGAGAAGATGGCATTCTTCACCCGGGCAAAAATAAGCGTTCCTGACCTACCGGCTGACGATGTATAGAGGATCTAAAGTATTTCTGAGTCTTAACTGCTGTTTCATTGAAGAAGAAGCTGACCTCTGGTGGTATTATGAAGAATTATGCAGATAAAAAAGTGTCTGTTCAGTAGGAGAACGTCATTTTAAAACACTGGGTTTTAGCTCTCAATTGAAAATCTGTAGATTTTTGTTTTCCTTTTTTTAGCTAGTACCAACAACAGCGTTTTGTTTTTTATTTTTTTGCTATTCATAGCAATGTTTTTCTGTTACTAATAATTGTATATTGGTATCTGTATTAGGTATTTTTTGTGGTAGATGATCATTCCAAAACACCAGTGTGTTATTTTTTAAAAAAGACGAGGGTAAAACAGTTGCTCTGTTAATTGGACAAGACCGCTTACTGTAACTCGATGATGTGAATACAGATCCTTATGGTACTTTTATGATTCATAGCACAAGGGTTTGGAAATCACTATTTGGAGGTTATGTCAGTGTGGGTGAAAAATCGGCTCTGCCAGTGATGTCTCAACACATGCAAGCACATGCTAGTCACACATGCTTTTGCCAAGAGGAAGATTGGCTCTTATTTTTATAACCTTAACGATATGTACAAAATATTGCTAACATTAGCAGACATAGAAATGAATGAAAGTACGAATAACTGTAGCCCAGAACAGTTTTACATGTAGCTAGCTAATGGGTAGCTAGTTGTAACTCGCTACAGCATCAATGCCAGCTGGTTCCCAGTGTTCACTTTGATGAATGCACAAGTATACGCGATTGTCCACAAGGCGCAGCACATAAACGAGTGGCCACAGTCTCAGCAATTAAGTAGAAACTGCACTTAGTCCCACAGCCTCTCAGGTAGAATCTCGGCTAGTTCATGCACTTTAATAGTAATCAGAGAGCGGGGAACGCTGTCATGGCACATTGTAACTCGCGAGCACATGAAGGCCTAATGCATGTCTCCATCTCTCCTTGCCCTGGAACTGAACTTAATTTGTGAGCTCTTGTGTCCCCTTAGAAACGTTTGTGAACCAAGCTGATTTTTGGTTCATTATTATTTTGGTTCCCTTTCACCCAGAATGCTTGATTTACTCCAAAGACCTTTTCCAGGAAATTGTTTTTGGTTTAATTATTTTATTCCAGATTGCTTTTAAGAATTCTGAACATGCTGAGTAGCCAGTCCAGTTCATGGCTAATCATGTCCTAATCAGTTGTGTAATTCCCACCTCCTCCCAACACATTCAAAATGCTGCACAGAGCTTTCTGGCTGAAGTGCAGCTGTAGTCTCGGCACATGGCGCACATCCTGCAGAGGAGGACCGTGATGTCACAGTTAATGAAATATGGAACGAGATCATTCGGCGTGGCAAAACGTCAGAGCCGAACTTGAGCGCTTGATGCTGCAGAGCTACTCGCCCGCTTTCCCCTGCAAACGCTTAATAATGCATAGCAAGCCTGTTATGTAACCCATAGCTGTGTTTATCCTTTCTGACATGCCCCCTGCTGCAACCTGAATTCTCATACTGAATGTTCAGCTCAGTCCTGGTCTTTCAGCCAAGTGGGGATTGCACATTCACATGTACACGTCAGTGTTTTGACACCAGTCGACTATGAATGTTAGCAAATGCTCAGTCATTCAGACCCTTTTTCAGCTTTGGCCAAAGGGAAATGCTTGTCTGAATGAAGCACTTTCTGTGAGGCCCAGAACAAAATGTGATTTTGGGTCCTAACCACTAATTTTAAAAGGGACTGACTTTTTGAAAATTCTACATAATTCAGTTATTGAGTTGAAAACAGTCATTCAGGGTAGCTTGATTTGAAATGGTGCACTGTAGTGAAACCTGCCAGCTCTGATTTCTTTACATTGGTGGTGATAGGATCCAGGGGTCGCAGTATCCACAAACAGATGTTATTGCTATAGTGATGCACCGTAATGAATATCTAGCCAAAAATTCTGACACAGATAAAAAAAAGCTAAAAATAAATAAAACAGTAAAAACAATCAAATAAATTATTAAAAAATAATTTATTACGTCTTCAACAAAAGAGGATGTTTGATCATCCAAGGCAAATGATTCCATTATGTTTTTTAGTTACACTTTGCATGTGCCACTGCCATTTGGGGATTTTTAAGAACTTTCAAAAACTGTGACTACAGATGTTATGTTAGTGGGGACTTTCTGCTTCTATTATTTTGTTCTGTGTATCGAGCGGGATGTTTCAGTTGCTGAACTTTCAGTGCATCCCTAAAACACATGTCTTCTGTGTTTAATATGTAATCTTGATCATGGTAAAGTAATAGTAAATCTGAAAAAAATATGTTCCCTTGGGAACTATTTGTTCCTTACGTGAATAGTTTAAAAAAAACAAACGCATTTTAGGTGCATCAGGTAGCTTATTCATAACTGCTTCTTATAATAGCTTTCTGTGGTGCTTTGTGAGGCAATAAATGCTTCAGATGTCTAGTTTCTGTCACCCCCACTGTATGAATGCAGTATTTCACATCAAACCACTCTGAATGACTTTGTTTATATCTTAGCTAGTATTATGTAGAAATTTAGCAAAATAGTCGGAATTCCCCTTTAACAGTGACACTTACTGTATCTCCTACCCATCTCAGTTTTTAGTACTTAACAGTACAGTTATAGATGTTTATTTATTACGTTCATTTACAATGTTTAAACATCTCTTGTATCTAAACCACTCTAGGATGAAGTATGTTATACAAAAACTCACTACAAGTTATGTACATGAAACTACACTACATAGAATTGAGCTCCCCCTGCTGGTTCAGCCTGATAATTTACCCAACTTTTTCTCCGTGATAATCCAGGCGGTGGGTTCCCCACGTCTCCTTTGAGCACTAATGAGCGGTTGCAGTAATGAGCACTCGGCACGTGTTTTAAGACTCCAGCCACACTGTTGGGCAAATTACATAAATAACCATTCTTGACACAGCATGAATCAGCACCAGCCCGTTTAAAAATGCGACAAGACAAATCCAAAGACCTTCGGTTTGTTCCAGTGTTGTTCACACGTGCATGTGGCACCTGACGGTTAATTTGCTCCACCCAGTGGCATGAGCGTGCATGTGTGTATGTGTTACAACCCCTCAGCTCTCCCTGGGTGACTTTTGAAAGAGCTGGACACGTGCCTTGAACTCCGAAATTCACTTCTTAATACCCCCCCCCACTACACTGTTATTTGCCTTGCACCTTGAGATAGATGACAAAACCAGCAATGACTGTCCTAGTCAGCACCTTTCTATTCCAAATAGCGGACTATTACAGACCTGTACATTAAGCCCCCAGTGGAGACTCAGTCGGAAGCTTTACTTTTAACCAAATATCTAATGCATTTTTTAAATGAATACCAGCTTTCTCAGCTGCGTTATGCAGCATCTTTCTACATTTTTCATCTCCTAGCTCGATGTTGGCTCTCCTAGCTAGATGATGTTTCAGAGAATAGGCCCAAGCTGCTTGGAACCCCATTAATCCTTGGTTGGCATTCTGTTCTGTCCTTTTCCGTCACACATTGTAGGTTAGATCAAGTTCTAATGCCAAACGCTGAGTGTGGTAGTCTAATTTGTAGGCAACCCCAGATCCCTGGTCAGTTCATGAAGCTAACGACTGCACATTTGACCCAGGGGGCCGTTAACAATGGTACAATTTAAACCATTAAACTGGAGTCTTTCAGAAACCCTTTCTTTTTTTTCTTTTTCTTTTTTTTATAAAATGTATATTGTCCATCTGTTTGAACAGGAATAACAATGTGACGAGACCCTTTAAACAATGTGCACTGAATGTGAATTGTTACATGGAAACACTACACTGTAGTTTCTTTCTAGTAAACTGGAAGAGGGCACGCGATTCAGAAGTCACACCGTAAGCGGGACGCGATCGAGACGAGCGTTATGATCGACTAGGTGCTCTTTTAATGTCGCATCCAAGGCTCTGACACAATACACTTATCTAACCTTCTGTATCTGTTGATTTCCTGTTGACTGTGCAGTCATTGTAATCATGTGAAAATCATGTAGGACTTGCTTCAAATAACCATAAGAGAGGAGGAAAAAAAAAGGATCACCGTCAGTAACTGATGCTGGTAGTCATAAATGATTTGTTGTTCATGTAGACTTACAATAGGATTCTTGTTTTCAGAGCGTTGTATTTTGATTATTTTTTAAATCGGATGTTTCAGTGCTGATGGAAGAAGAACTGGGTCTTTCCACAGAGGCGATTGGAGAAATACAGCATGTATTTATTGCACTTTTGTGATTTGGGTGTGCTGTTTTTCTTTTCTTGTGAGACTTATGAAAGCTGTGAATTTTATCATCAACACTGTACTGTCAACAAAAATTGTAAATATGTCACCAGCACAAGAATGTTTTGTAGCTTCACAACAAATATAAAAAAGTTCTTTCTTCTAATCCTCAGAATCGTCTTTTTTCCCCTTGTATGAGTTTCCCAGACGCAGAATAATCATAATCTTGATTACAGTATAATCAAGGTTGGAAAAAGGCTTGAGTAACTGTACTTAAGTACTGTATTTAAGTAATGAACTTGTGTTATTTTGGAATATTTGTACTTACTCCAGTTGGATCAAAATTGACATTTCATACTTTTTATGTTTTCATTTACACTTTCAAAGTACTGGTTACAAATCTCGAAGGCCAGATTTTGTGTCTGTTTTTCTTGCCAATCAGTCAGATTCCCACACATTTTAACTTACTAGTTTTATTTAAAAACATTCAACCAAACTCAGTGTGAAATGATCTCCCAAAGCTATTAAAATGTGTCTTTGTGTGAGGACTAGTACCACTCAGTAGTCCTTGTACCACCAAACAAAGAAGACTTTTAATTTCAGTTGTTAAATGATGTCTTACAGTTTTATTTTTTTCATGCAAGGTTCACTTTATGTGGCAAAAACTGTCATTAATTTTTACATGACCGTTTTCAAACCTCTCTTTTCCCCTACAACTAAATGGCATTTTTTTGTTAATGTGCCTTTAAGACTGATATATTTAAATTAGCTCTGTTCTGGTTGGCTTTACTGTATTGTGCCTCATTCAAAAAGCAGACCAGGCTGAAACAACACACATAACCTCAGTGTGGGTGGGTGGGGCTGTATTAAAAACAATGAATAGGGAACAAGCTGTTTTTGCAGAGTGAATGATAAAGTTAAAATTTAGATATGTACATTTTATTAATGATCACTGCATCAAACTCTCATTTCAGAATAGTGAAGGAAATTCAGTTTTCCATGATATGTTGTAAATGTTTAAGTATAATTTTTGGCTCCATACTTTTAATATTTTGACACAGTACATATTTTCACTTTCACAGTACAGTTTTTATCTTTAAAATTTTTGGTATAATTTTTGCAGATATTTTTCAGTATAATTTACAGTCATGTGGAAAAGTAGAGACCATTTATTTAATTTCAAGTTATTAATTTATTCAGAAGATAGGAGATAGGATTATCTTGCGTAAGGAGAGGGAAAGCCAAAGGGAAATGAGTGGGGAAAAAAACGAATTTCCAAAACTAGAGTAGAAAAACATTGTGAAAGATGAAGAGCAGACCTGGTAGACCACCAAACACTTTCACCCTCAGCTTTTATCTTTAAGAGAGGAGAAAGCCCAGCTACTCTTTTGCTTTAAATCTAAAAAAATCCACAGGTGTTTCCGTCCATCCTCCCCTGTGAGAAGACACTTCAGTGCAATGTGTAGCTGTCAAGAAGCCCTTACGGAGAAAAGGAAATTTAAGAAGCTGCTGGTGCTCTCAGAACAGTGGACTGACCGCCCCAGAGTCCAGATCTCAACATCACTGAATGTGTTTGGGATTACAGCTTCTAAAACTGAACTTTGGAGGTGTGGAAAAACATTTTTCAGAGAAATCAGCAGGAAAGTAAATCTCCCAAAAAATGGAATAAATGTTCAGCCCTTTGGAAATTTTTTGTTAAATGTTCTCTGTACTTTTTTTTTACTGGTTCTGAAAACTAATAACTTGTTTTTATTGGCCTTTTTAAAGGTAAATGAAATAAAAGAAGGGTGGTCTCTGATTTTACTGCAAACCTTAGCTCCGTTTTATATACACTTTGGAGTATTTTCTGTTAACACTCCAGTGGGGTGTGTGTGGGGGGGGGCATTGTTTCATTTGAAGAATAAAAGAATCTGATATTCTTTCATTTAATGAGTTTAGATTTGGGGTTCATTGAAGGCAGAGCAGCATGTACATACAGTAATACAGAAGTCAATGGAAACACCCCACAAAGACAGTTCACTGTGTTTTCAACAGCTGCACTCTGAGGACGTCACCTACATTTAGTGTGATGAGGACAAATGCCACAGAACTTGTGAATGGTCTAAAGTAGCAATGCAGAAAATAAGGCCTGCAGAAAGTTTCCCTAATCCCACCCCCTCTCCCAATCAGACAACAAACCTGTTTTTATACAATACAAAACTTATTTAATCCTGTATTGTTGAACAACAAAATATAGTTCATTGTTATACTTTTTAATAACTACTTAACCAGCATTTGAAGCCTATGTACCTTCTTTATGTGTGTGCTGTTCTGTCTTTTGGCCCTCGACCCACCAGGAGCATTGCAAGACAGGTTTGAGCTCCTCTGACATTTTCTAGTAGATATACCTTGATGAACATCCTTTAATGTGGATTTTTGTTGTTTAGTTAAAAACCAGCAGTTCATCAGTTAAAGGGCTCCAGAAGAACATTTTCCATGTATGTATACTATACACTATGTGTGTATACATAATGTATGGGTACTATATCAGATTTTTTTATAAAAATGTGATAGTGTACATACATTGGTAAAGTTTCAAAATACACTGTTCACTCCTCAGTCCACACAGCCAATGTATGGAAACTAGCCTATAAACACAGCCCTGTTTAAACCCACTGTTTTAGTGAAGTCACAACGCATTCATCCTACAGCAGTTTAGCTCCGCCCATTAATGCTGAAGTTATAAGGAGCGTTTCAGCCGGACCGCTTATTAAATGATCCGCAGTTCAGGGCTTTAATCAGTTAAAGACACAGTCACAGTCACAGAAACAGCCTGTTTAGTTCTAAGAAATAAAGAGTGGCTGAAAATGGTCTTATAAAAAGGAATTATGACTATTTTGGAACATAAACCCACACAAAAATTTTATAAATTGGTCTTTAATAAAATACAGTATAAATGTAGGATATGTACCCTTTAAGTCATAAGACTAAGACTATTTTAGCTGTATGTTTTGATCAATTTGGAAAAAAAAACGTCAAATTTGTTCTTTGAGATTCACACTTTCAGATAATGTCATTAACTGGTTCATAAGCATCAGCATTTCATATAGTTACATATATTTTTTTATGAAAGTAGTTTTACACGATTTTTAATTTTCAGGAACATAAGGCTTCCTCCCACAACCCCTGTGGAGAGCCGGAGCGGTAGCTGCTATTTCATTCCGCGGGTATCAGCACAGCAGGACTCCTGTCAGGTAACACAGATAACCAGCGCTGTTTCGGCTGTTCTCTCTACAGTAGTATTACCGGACGTGCTGTTTGCAGTTTCTGTTAGTATTTATCGAGTTTCTCATCATCTGTCTGTAGTATTTTGAGTGAATTTGTGTGTTAAAGCGTAGCTAAATAGGTTAGCTAGCGTTAGCTAGCTAAGGAGCTAACTGCTTACTGAACAGGCTGTAGAAGAGTAAGCGTTAGCTAAGCAAAGCTAAGCTAAGCTAGTCAGCTTGTTAATCGCCAGCCTCTTGCTTGAATTTTCCCGTTCCACCTTAAATGGTGCAGCTGTTACATTCTGTTGTCTGCACCATTTAAGGTGGAACGAGTAATTATGAAGAGGAAGCTAACTTGAGCCTCGCCGATAGTGGTAGCTTTGAGGTTTTTCGTGAGGGCAAGTTATCATGTAATATCGCCTACCTTTGCGATAGTTCGTTATACTGCTATGTTATGTAAGAAAATTGTTCAGTACATGTGATAACCTGAACGGTTTATAGTTAATATACTATAATATATAATATAGACATTGGTTTGTTTGGTTAGTTAGCTAGCTAGCCACAGATAAGCTAGCCAAACAAACCAGCCAACGTTGGTTAGCTAACCTAGCTAACTAGCTAGCTATAGCAAGCTGGGTGAGCTAAGGATGTTTGTTTTGGTGCGTGAAGACTCATGTATTATCTCTAGACTGCTCATGCAGCAGGTGGCAGGGCTTGCTTTTTCCCCAGCTGATAGCCCGCTCTGTTCCGGTCGTAGTTTTAGCTTCAGCTAAGTAACAGAGCCTCTTGTACTCGCAGTTTGAGCGCTAAGTTCAGGTGCGCTTCGTTCCAGAGTTCCAGTTTGCTGCTACCTGCCTGTGGCCGCGTTGGAATCGCCTGGGTGCTTGGTTGTTTCCTCAGCCTGCAACAATGCCAGCCGCACTTGCAGATACGAGTCAAATTATCTGCGAGGTCTGGGCAAGCAACGTGGAGGAGGAGATGAGGAAAATAAGACAGATCATTCAAAATTACAACTACATCGCCATGGTATGTACCTTGCTTGTGTTTCAGCACATACAGGCCGGTGATGCTCCACTGCTGCATCCTTGTCTTCTGTTTTGGTTGTAAATGTGTACTGTACCTCTCAGCTGCTAACAGGTCCTGAAGTTGATCTTGCAAGGCCTGGGCACTGGAGAGAGTTGTTTGGAACACAGTCATAAAACTTGCTTTCTTTATTGTCTTCTTCCCTAGGACACAGAGTTCCCCGGAGTGGTGGTCCGACCCATCGGAGAATTCCGTAGCACTGTCGACTACCAGTATCAGCTCCTCCGGTGCAACGTGGATCTACTGAAAATTATTCAGCTGGGTCTAACGTTCATGAACGAGGACGGCGACTATCCACCGGGAACAACGACCTGGCAGTTCAACTTTAAATTCAATTTAACGTAAACATCCTTTTTTTCCCTCCATCATAAGATGATTCTCAAATTCTCATTAACTGTATTATTTTTACATGGCGAAGGGGGCATTGCTTTTGAAGCAGTGGTCATATGTGTACAGTTTCCACCAACTACAAATATAGCTGTTCAGCCAATGCGTTTGGTGTCTGAAGTTTGCTTTCTTAGTTTTGTTACAAAGCTATAAATAATAATGGAAGTTTATAAACTGTGTGCATAAATCATCATGGTGCTAACCTGGTGGCAGTAAGCACCTGTTACTTGTTAACTACTTGTAGCACCAGGGCAAAACCTAAAACACAAACTGTCGACACCCCAAATGTTTTGGCTGATAGTCACATTTGGGTTCAGGGGACGATTGTGTAAATTTGATTTGTGGCCAAACCTTTACTTTAATCAGTTCTCCCTTCTTCACAGAGAGGACATGTACTCTCAGGACTCAATAGACCTTCTGCAGAACTCTGGTCTGCAGTTTAAGAAGCATG